TTTTACTACGTGGCCTCCCAATGTACAGAGTCGACTTTTAAGAACCGGTTTTTCAGCACTTCTTCCAGTTGCTCCTATTACAGTAATAGTTCTTCCAGATGGAGGAGCAACTTGATTAGTCACCACCGAATGTTCAGCACCAGTGTCGATCATAAACGCACTCCTTTTTCCCCCTATTGATACATCGACCATAGGCTCCGCTCGACCAAGGGGGATGGAGCCCGGTCGGTATCAATAGTCCTCCATGACCGTGTCAGCCAATCCCACAAAGTCCCTACCTTCTCTATCGCGGGACCTTTGCGCTGCTGGATAGTACCTATCTTCCCTTACACTTCCTCTGTTCCCATTACTCCCTCTATTACCATTACTCCCTCCGGGGCCTCCTCTACCTCTCGCTCTGCCTCTAAAGTTTCCGTAACCTGCCCTGGGTAAGTCTCTCTCATACTGCTCTCTTTGCGGACACTCGTTCCTCCAATGCCCTTCTTCCTTACAGTACGCGCACTGATTCCTACTCAAAGGCTCCCTATTCCATCTACCATCGCCTCTATCTGGGCCCCGTCTATCTACGCCTGCGATCGCTACCGCTAGCATATCTGCCTTTCTACGCATCTTGCGCTCTTCCTCTTTCTTACTTTCTGTTTCCCTATTCATATATACTTTGTTCGCTACCTCCATTAGTTGGGTGATAGACATACCTGCAAACCCTTCTAATTTCTGTAGCTTGCGCTTAATATCTCCGTAAGCTTGGCTGACAAAGGCGGAGTTTACCATTCGGGAATTATCAGCGTCTTCCGGATTAAAGGGGGTATACAAGCGGTATGCCTCCAATAATCGGTCATAAAAGACACTGGGCGCTTCATCACTTTTCTGAATCACCTCAACTGTCTTCGACATGTTAATAGCTTTCTTCCCTCCGGCTTTCATGCCAGCAATTATAGCATCTCTATAGGCTTTAAGTTGAGCCATATCTGCGCCATTTACATTCCAGTCAGGATCGGTGTTAGGGTAATGTGTTGCGGCCCATGCTGCCGGATTGGCTTGATTTAAAGCACGGGCTCTCTCCTCTAGCGCCTTAATGGCCGCTTGGTTAATCCTTGTCCTTTCCTCATTATTGAACAATGTCATTAATAACTGCTGGCAATCAGCCCATGTCGGGTTATGTGTCTGAACTATCGAGGTGAACAGATCGGTCATAGCTTGTGGTTTCTCAGTGTACGAGGAATTGTGGGTCTTCCAATTCAAGAGATCGGTAGTCGTGAACGGGACATATACGAAGACTGGGTCAGCATGTGCCATTTGACCTGCGGCATCGATATAGGCTGACCCAGGATTCAGACGAAGAGGCATCTGATAATGTTTTAATTGTTGGGTACCGGTCAGTTGTCGGGTTAGTATGGGGCTACGTGGAGGGGCGTCAGTTAAAGGTTCCGGTCGAGAGGTAATAGGGCATGAGGATGTGGGAACTTGATTTTGGGAAAAGTTAGTGAATAGTATACTCCGAGCCGAGCTAGAAGAAGCTTGACCGGAAGTTTGAAGTGGCGCCAAATCAGGATATTCAGATCTAATGGGGGTTGGTCCTGGTTCCGGAAGGGGAGTTTTAATACGAGGGGGGGTGGATTCTGTACTGGAGGAGGAAGCGGAAGTGGATGGGGGCAATAGGGGAAGGGGTGCAGAGCTTCCTGCATTCGCGTCACTTCCTCTTAAAGGAAAGTAAGGGGCGGCAAAGGGATCTCGGACTCAGGGGGCGTGTCCAAAATGGGCCTAACACCAGTCCTAGTGGACAAACAAGTCCTGGCCACCATGAGGCGACATTGCTCCTCGTGGCATATCCGGATCCATTTTGGCGAGTCGTTTACGGCCTGCCCCCAACAATCAATGTATGGAAACTGTCCGTAAAGTTCAGGCCTACCTGATACAGCCACGTGTACACGCTGTACCAGGGTTGGATCCAAACTGCCACGCGGCGGCCATGCCGCAACCAAAATAGGCCACTCCCTAGTGCACAAAGTGACCAAACGTACAGGAGACATTTTAACCCCAAAATCACATGTTTTGAATCCCTTTTTAAAATTCTTTACCATACAACCTAAGGGATCCGAAATCGTTGACTCTGACGCGCCCATACTTATCAATGGAACGTCGTTGACAACGAATACTATGCACGCGTTCTTATTCAACAGTCACACCCGTTTCCTCTGGCAACAGCACCACGTGGTACAGTTACCGAGTGAAACGTACACAATAACACAATAATCACTCAGGGAATTCCCGTACACACACAGCTGTTACACCAGTCACTAAATAATCAATATTATGCCCTTTGGCGAAACTATACAGTCACCCACGCTATAATTCTCTATATATGAATTACCCGTCTATAACACACCCCAGTAACATCGTCTTTTACTAGTATCGGTTACAGTACGGTTAGCATAGGTCAAAGCACAATTTAAGGTCACAATACAATTATTAGTGGTTACGGTGTTAAACATGCAATAGACGACAATGATTAGTACTTATATACAGTGTCAGTAAATATACAGGGTTATGGTACCGTGCACTATGATACAGCAACACACTATTAACACTCTCGCTAGACGGCTGAGCTCGCGCTATCTAACAAGATATACACTTTACTAACAATCTTTAACACATTTACAATCCCAACTAAACTATTGGCCAGTACCTTGAATGGACTACCTAAAACTATATACACCCGTTTTGGTTAGCCACACTGCCCAAACACCACATATAGCGAACTAGAGGGCGAAATTTACAAAATTGCCCTTCTAGTCTATTTACTCTATCAAAAGTCTAGTGGGTTCCAAATTTACACGCCTTCCCACTTAGCCAAGATAGGTTGAGAGCTAGCGAACCGAATTTACACAGGCGCCGCTTAGTCTCCCGGTCCCTCCGACCTAGCGAACGTAATATACACCCTAGAACGCTAGTCTAGACAAGACACCGGTGTCCGGCTAGGGCTATTTACACAGGACCCCGCCTGACTAACCAGATCAAACGGTCTTACTAAAGAGCGTTCGATCGAGCGGTGCGCCTTCGCTCCTTCCCTCCGACAGAGGGGGCAGATTCCATACACAGATTTAAACCCCTTTTGGGCCTACCGCACAATCGGTATACCCCTAGTGGGTCTGCCGTCTAAAACAGCAGTTGTCTTACCTCCTCGTTCCTGAACCTGAGTTCACACTCATCGACGGGGACACCCCAGCACTTCTTACGTAGAGGCCGATGATCTCCTGGACAACAGACCAGTGGCGCCGAGACGAAGGGAGGTCCACGCAGAAGTTCAGGGGTGCAGCCGTAGAGAACGTGGGCAAAGATAGACCGTCTCACGCCTCTGCCTCTCAGCTACCGTTGAACGATGAGCTTCCCGGCCAATGCACCAAATGATACCGGAGAAACTGACGGAAGCAAAGCACAGAGAGATGGACACAGGTTTCTTCAGGAAGGAAGAGATTCTTTATTGGATCACCGATCGGGACTCAGAGGGACTAATGTCACCAAAAATACAGCAAGTTCTGAGCCCTGAACAATAGTGCAGGCTCCCTATATAGGCACATAACTCCTCCCATATTAAGCTCCACCCGCACATTCTCTTGACCAATCATTACAAATAAGAATTAACTTCCTGCTTGACCGCATGGCTTGTCCAGCACAATGGAGGAGGGGAATACTACATCCTGTATTCTTGCACATGCTCCGTACACTACTGATCGTATCTTGCCTCGTGCAACCAGTTGATCGATACGTCAGCATATGCACGTACACATGCCACGTGGTAATCTCGGCCTACTAAATTTATTTTTACCGAGATTCCACCACAGTATCTCTCCCCTGCTTGTCCATTTCTAGGGCACATTTGCTATTCCCCAACATTATCAAGATAGTCATGAAGTACAAGATACAATGAAAGGTTTTTCCATGATAATTTTAAGGATCCAGAATCTCCTGCAAGACTGTCATTCTATCCGCTGCTTCTCAGATTATAAAATGTTAGTTTCCAATGTGTACCAAAATTCTGCAAAAGACATCTATATTTGAAAGAACCTAGAAATACGGTAAAATGTATTTCACAGCACAGTACATCCCAGAGTATAAATAATAAAGCATTTAACACTGACAGTGTACACAGCTCATTTTGGTAATGTATCAACCTGTAACCCCCCTGTTCAATTCTTTGAAGATCCACTTTCCCTGTCATCCTAGTGAGGTGGGTACAGCTAGTATCACTGATATGGTGGATCAGTACACCAACTGCTTACCGTGTTTATGAAGCCTAAATGGGGCTATTATGCCATCAGAAAGCAGTTTACATGAGTCCTGTGTTCCTGTTTAAGCTTGTCTGCAAAAGTACTTATTATACACTATCTGCAAGCTTTCAAGGCATGGTACTTCCATTTTCAAACCACTCCTTTTGAAAAATTACTCAAAAAAATTCTGTTTTGTTAAAACACTTTTTTTTTTATTGCAGCAGCCATAGCTGGCACAGATTGTCCTTTAAAAATAAATAAAAACAGATCCCTTCATAAGGTTGGGGAAGTGAAGGTGGAAAAACCCTTCTGGATAACAAGTTGTTCCTTTGTATAAAATCCTTACAAATTCAAAGTCACCTGCATCATATTTACTCAACTTCTTTGGCATTATGTGCTAGCAGTCTGATACAATCTTTCCAGACAGACCTCTATGTATATACAACTATATTTCTAGGGTCTGTTTTAACCCCTTCACCATTGTGGGTGGTTCCACACCATTCTAAAAATATCAATTAAAGGGACACTATAGTCATCAGAACAACTACAGCTTATTGAATAATGTTTACATTACAGCCTAGGGATACCTCCACTATGTTTGTCTTTAATCGTCAATGTGTGTGTCTCTGTGCGTCAGTGTGTGATTTATTAACGGGCCCACTTGCTTTAATATTTATTAATGTGCAACGTACAGTGGTATTAATATAATAAATACACAAACTTCTTGTGACGTTTATAACGGGCAAACTTAGGAAGGTATTTATTAATTGGAAAATCTACTGTGATTAATAGGCACCTGGCTTGATTTAAGCCTTTAACCTTCTATGGGTTAATGGGCAAATTGACTGTGGCATGTTTTGTAGGGCAAAATGACACTGTTCTGTGTTTTTTATTTTTTTTTTGCTTGTGGCTGTGGAATTTTGGAAAGAGCTTTGGTGTTCCTTGGGTGAGAAAAGGTTGAGGAGCACTGCTGTAGACTATATATTCACTCTACTAGATGCAAATGATGTTTCAATGCAATACGATGTAGCAGATGATCAATCAACATGTAACAGCTAGCATCTGAAGGCTCCTGCCACTAGTAAAGCTGAAGTCCTTGCAAGAAATGTTGATATTTTAGTACCTAAAAACAGAGCCCACAATTAAATCCTCCTGGATGATTCAATTGTTTGCATGTCAGCTAACCACCAATAATTTTGCAAAAAGTTAGAAGCATGTAGTAATGCGGGAGCCCTACCATGTGTAAAGACACTTGTATCACCTCTACTCCTTCACTTTTATCCAGCTAGGAGGGAGTGCAGGACAGCCTTACGCTTTACTTGCTGCATGCGGTCCACTGTGGATACCTTCTACGTTCCACTGCAGCCTCTCTGCTGTACACTTGTAAAGCCTTTGTGAACAGTCTAGCTCCTTTCAAGATTAAAATCACTTCCTTACAGGCTCACAACTGTTTTAAAGATTTGTTTCTGTGTGGCTGTGGACAGGGGGCTCAATTTAGCAGTTGATCGAAGGGTGCAGTGTTGTGGGTTTTTTTTTTTTTCCCTAAGCCTTTTGGGATTAGAGATTGTTTGTATTTCTTTTCCCCTATCTTGCTGATAATCCCCAAACCTCCTCTGCCCTTTTGTCTGTAATCCACCCCCTTACTCTCTTTGCCCTCCCTGAACAAATTACAGATTTTTCAACACTATCAATTTTGCATTAAGTACAAGGAGTACAAAACAAAGCATCCTTTAGTACATGTTATATGTAGTATGTTTGTATTGTGTAAGATTAATAAAATGTTGATGAACCAAAAACTGCAGCACATTCTAATCAAAGAGTTGAGGTTGAATTGGTTTGAATCTGCATGTCCTTACACATATGCCTAAGACTTTTAGAAGGCCTAGTCTCCTATGTGGCAAGGATGGAGCTGCAAGTATTTCTATAAATTATTACAATTATAACCAAAAGGCAATAGGGACATGGAACCATTACCTACACAAGGATCAGTTTTCAATCTCCATATAAGCATTTCCTTTCATGTCCAATTTTTTTTGCCAGTTGTGTCAGCCACGTGTGGAACTATGTAGAACACTTTAGCAAAATAAAAAACTTTTTACTGAAACACACTGATCTATATTTTGTATTGAAAATTAGTTAACCTCAGACCTTCATAAAACACACATCAACTTTCATGCTAATGAGGTTATAAAACGTAATACCAGAACTTTTCACTTAATTGCCCTTTAACTAATTTACTGTAGTACCAAGATCTCTTGAGGTATCCAAGGATATGTACCACATCTGGTCTCAAGCACCAAAATCACTGCTGCTTATTGAAGTTGTTCTGGTGTAAATAACACACAGGTGAAACCCCTACATTTTTGTTCTTAAATGTTTAAGCAGTTTGACAGAAGCCAGAGAAACCCCTAGCACAGGGGATAGTTAACCTTCAGCCGATATTGTAGACTACATTTCTCATAATGCTGGCATTATGGAAGCGTAGTCCACAACATGTGGAGTGCTGAGCTTGCTCTAGCATGCTGACAGCAGATGTGGAGAGCTCTGGCTGCTGGGAAGACCTCGCAGTTTTTGTCAAGATATAAGAAAATGGTTTATCAGAAAACAAACATTGCTACGGTCTCCTTGAATCATAATCTCAACAATAAGCTGCAGTTATGACACATTAAGTTTTAAAGGAACAGTATGTATTCCTAAAGCTATAGTGGCCTGTTAAATGTTTAGGTCCACTGCCCCCCACCTTGTAAGGAGGTAAAATTACATTTTAAATGACCTTTTCTCCCACATGGCACCAGACTCTAAACTGTTGCCTCAAATCCTTGGCTGAGGATATGGAACCATTACCTACACAAGGATCAGTTTTCAATCTCCATATATGTATTTCCCTTTATGTCCAATGTTTTCTCAATGGTGTCATAGCCATGTGTAGAACCGTATAAAACACTTTAGCAAACAAAAAAAAAACCTTTTACTGAAACACACTGATCAACGAGATCAATGATCTCAGTTAATCCAGTATTTTCCCATAGGAAAGCACTGGGAGGCCAATGCACATGTACAGCAAATGCACACTGCTCCAATCAGATGCTCTCTGTGCAGAAACCTCTAGAGACATTTAAACCCCATAATGTTTTCCGTTGCAGGCTCGAACAAAACAGGGACATGTCTCTTTAAGTTTATTTGCTTTTGTTTTGCACCAGCCAAAACAAAAACAATTTGATCAGTGGTGGTTTTAGAATTGTAAAGAAAAAAAAGAAAAAATTACATAAAATGTCTTTCAGCTCATGATACTATACCAACAGAATTTACCAGTTTAGGACTTCATTTTTAGCATGTGTACTTTGGAATAACTCTTTGTAAACAAATAGAATAGTTCAGTGATTAAATATATGAGCTCTGAATACTAGATCTGATTTCTCATAATACCAGACTTGTATTATGTCGTTTTCAAATATATGTGTTCATTTGTATCAAAATAAAGCAGTCTTGACAATCACCTAAGCATTACGATTTCCACCATGCCGAATCCTATGAGCATATAATCCCACTGGCTCAGTTTGTAGTATAACGCTCTGGTATAGTTCATAGAAGAAAAAAGAAAACAGTTTAAAGAGACACTATAGTCACCATAAAAACTTAATGAAGCCATTTTGGTGTATGGATCATGCTCCTGTAGTCTCACTACTCAATTATCTGCCATTTAGGAGTTAAATTACTTTGTTTATACAGGCCTAGTAACATCTCCCTGCATGGGAGTTGAAAAGTCTTCCAAAACATTCCCTGTAAAGAGTAATCTAATGTTTACACTTCCTTTATTTCACATTCTGTTTAATTTAGAATTTCTTATCCCCTGCTGTGTTAATGCTTGTTAGACCCTCTAGGGCAGGCTTCCCCAAACTCCGGCCCTTCAGATGTTGCTGAACTTCAACTCCCATGATTCTATGAATGAAACAGGCTGAGAATCATGGGAGTTGTAGTTCAGGAACATCTGGAGGGCCAGAATTTGGGGAAGCCTGCTCTAGGGGCCTCTTATGTTCTTAAAGTTCAATTTACAGGAAATAACTTTTGAAGTAAGTTAACATCTGTATGAAAATGAAACCATTTTGTTTCCATGCAGGATGTGTCAGTCACAGCAAGGGGATGTGTGGCTAGGGCTGCATGAACCAAAACAGTTTTTTTTTGGCAGAGAATTGGGCAGTGAGACTTCAGAGGCATGATTTGTACACAAAAACTGCTTTAATAAGTTAAATATGTTTGGTGACCATCGGGTCTTTTTAAGAAAGAAAGAAAATTGTAATTTGGCAATATTGGCATCATCCATGACTGCAAAAAATAACTGAATTCATGTGTATATTACAGTTAATTGCATATTTTATCATATATATTTTTTATGTAAAGATAGTCATTTTTATAGCACGAAGCTTGCAGGTGTTTGCCACGGTGGCACTAAACCATATGACTAGTAGCATATGTACCAAATTCTACAGTAATAGTTATTGGAGGTCACCTGTTTCCAGATGGGTATAATGTTTCACTAGAGCAAATGCAAGGAACCCTCTGGTGCCAGGAGGTCCCTGGTGCTGGCTTACCCTTTAGAAGTTAAACTGTTCTGAACAGTTTGACCACAGTCTTCTCTCCATCACAGTTTAGCTGGTGTCTTATTCAAACCTGGAGGCTTCAGGCGGTGGGGGAGGGTGGGGTCACATTAGCTAATGCTCTAAGCCAATCAGTAGCACCTCAGTCATAAAAATGGCTTATAAGTTTATCAAGGCATTTCATGAAGAGGGAACTACTGATTGGCTTAGAGTGTAGCGTCAGCTGATTTAAAGGGTGCCAGAGAGAAAACTGTGTGGTGAAACCGTTTCTGTACATTTTTCAAGGTGCCTGCAGGTTCAGTTTAACTTTAACATCATACAGCTCTGTGGTAGACCTTCAAGTTTTACTTCTAAATAAAAAAAATACATTATATATTACACAAAATAAAAATATAAACCTTTGATTATCCTTGCTTAAAGAATAAGCATCAAATCTGAATTGATGCTTAAGCAGGTGCCATGGTTACATGCTATACATGCAGTTTTCTACATTGATGAGATAATGCACTTAAATATGGACCACAACTGACTAGTGTTAAGGAGCATACATCACCAGGTTTACATAGCATGTTTTATAAAAGTGTGCTTAAATGCAATATTCTCATGAAGGTACATAATATGTACATGTAATTACCTACCACCTTTTCAAAAAGTGAAATTAAGATTTCCCACACCATACAACCTCCACCCTTTGTGATATCTGAATAACACCAGTTTTGGAAAATATAGAAAGTAAGCTTGAGGGCTTGATAAAGAAGAAGCAAAAGGACTACAACACCAAGAATGGAGTAGTTTTTTTTTTTGTAGGGTTTTGTTTCCATTGGAAGGAGTCACATGAGAGGTTCAGAAATACAGCAGACAAAATGAAACAATACTAAAATACCAAAAAAAAAAAAAAAGAAAATGAAAAAAAAATGTATTTACAAGAAGATAACATTATGATGATGGGGGGAGCAATGAGCGCAGCAAGTCAGACATGCAAAAGTCCAGGGGGAACCGCTAAAAATGCTGCGCGCAGATGAAAAGACAAAGGGTTTGGAACATTCCATCTGCCCTAGATCACTACATTGATCAGAACCAAATACAGTCACTAAACAGCCCATGAATACATCGGAACGAGCACACAATACACTGGTTTGGAACTGAGGCTTCACTTTTGCTGGGATGGATTAGTCATATAAAGCCGAAGATGAAAGTGCAGGACATGCGACGGATCACAGTAGGCCTGACCCAAACTGGCCTCGTCTGTGAATATTTATACTATCCATAGAAAATATATATCATCTCAGTCTTGCCCTCTGCAACATGAAATGGGAGTGAAATGAAATTAAATACAACAGACTATGTATATACTGCGAGTAACTCACACTGGCTGAGATCTAAAAAGTCACTTCACACCACAAAAGATATTTAACTAAAAAAAAAAAAAAATCAATAACAGGAGGGGTTAGCTGGTTAGAGGGCAATGCCATTCCCCATGTGGTCTGGTTCCTCAGGATTTGAGTCCATATCAGAGAGGCCTTTAATGTCCATGCTACAAAGGCTGTGGGCCAGACAGATCTCAAAAGATTCAGTATTTTATCCTCTGTATGGTTTTTCTGGCTTCCAGGCTCCCATATTAAAGTTAGGTTTGTCTTCCCCATGAGTCCAGAATGCGATATTGAGAGTATTGTGAAGGGTGATGACACTATGGCCATATAGTGAAGGGAAAAGCCCCAAAACCCTTTTCAATGAATGTGTTTTCTTTTTTTGATATTTTTCTTTTTTTTCTTTTTTACACAAAATCCATTTGTTCGAGGTCCATCAGCTGTAGCTCTGTGTTACATACTGAGTTCTGCAGAGGTGATAAAGCCAAAGAAAACAAATCCTGCCAAGTTTGGCCTCGTATGTCCTCTACTCCCATCATACCTCCAGGAAGCGGGAGCTGCTGGCCTTGGTATGGAATGGCTCGGACCACATTCGACGAAGGTCACCCTGAAAGAGAACAGTATATAATGAGCAAATACGGAATTCAACAAACCCAGACTCTGTAGAGTCAACACCACAGGGATTATAAAATCTTAGACATATGCAACAAAATCACATCATCTTAATATAGTGGTCGGAGCATGTTTTCGCTTTTCTTGAACAATGTGATAAAGATTTCTGTTCTCAGAAATGGCAGTTAACATTTGGCCGCATAACATGCCTCTAGTGGCTCTCCAAAAGCAGTCGCTAGGTGTTCTGCCTCCTTCAGATCGTTTGAGCTGTTTCATGATGTAAAGTTTTTGGTCAGTTGCACTGGATAGCAGCAAATGTCGCTCATGCACTGTAGGTCTGCAATGCTTCCCTATAAAATCACTGGATTGGACCAGAGAAAAGGATTAAAGTTCTAACTGAAAGATCAGGCTGCAAAGAGGATTGATTCTCAGAACTGGATTACAAGTTGAACTGCTTTATACCATTATTTTTTTACTAAACTAAAGGAACAAACCCTACTTAAAATATTTAATATTTTTATAAAATAAAAAAAAAAACCTCATACCTTTAGATAGGCCATAGTAAGTAGCGGTAATAAAGTAAATGGGACCAAATAGAGCAAAGCAGGCTGGGCAGCTCTGTGAATACGCGAGGCCACTGTTGCTGTTAACAGTCCTGTAAAGTAATAAAATAGTTCATGGATTATTAATATACTTTAAACTGTTCACAAAATATGTTTATAGTTTCAAAAAATGTTCAAGCGTTCAAAATTATCTACTCACCTACAAAGTACCCAATTAGTGTGCAGTGGAAGTAGGAAACCTTCTGCATGCGCCCAGAGATATTGGGGATCCCTTGGGCATTGCAGGCATCACTGGTTGCCTGCTTTTTGTAGTTATCATAACGTAGGACGAAACATAGTAGTAGACCAGGCATCACAATGTCTCCAATCCCGAGCATTGAGAAGTGACTCCCTGTGGAACTGTAAAAACACTAGTGTTACAATTTGACAGCAAGCCCCTTCACACACATGTACTAGACATAATGAAGAGTCAAGGGTTAGAATGTCAAAAGTCCTGCGCCAGCTCATATCTGTCTGCATATTAAAAAAAATCAAAGTATAGACAATTCTGTTTGAGAGGGTGTTCATTTTTTTTAATTATAGATTTTCTGTGCATGGAGAATTAAAATTAACTGAGCTACTTAGAAACACACACCGCAACAAGAGGATCCGGGACTTGAAGTATTTTATCAAATTAACCCTTATTTTCTACCAAACTCAGATTCCTCCACTCAAACAACATACCTCTTAGTAGAACCAAACTTGAATTTTAGATTACCAATTAAACTTGCTAGGGGCATAATTCAATGTGATATGACTCCCTCCTTAATTAGAACTCATTAAAATGTCTCAATCTCTAACAGAGATGCCCATTTTGTAATTGAAAATGGCATAATAGATCAAAAACCTCTGTGAAAACACTTTGTTCATAGCACTCTTAAAGCATGTTCAATGTCCCAATTCTCTGATATCTCACCTGGGGAATACTAGTTTCCCTGGCAGGGAAAGCCGGGGAACATCCCTTCCAACATTGGGTCCCAAATGAAGCTTCCTAGATAATACATCCAGAGGATTGTCTGCTGGTTGCGTAGCCACCTTTACCATTACATTGCTGTTAAATATGTAGGCAGAAAAGAAAACCTAAAAAAGAAGTGGTTAAAGAAAATTGTAGAAAAGTTATATGAAAAAAAAAAAAAAAAAAACACGTGGGGATGTTGAATATAAATTAACTAAAAGGTACAAAAGATTAACATAAAATACCTGAAAATGTGCCACCTTGCCTACATACTGTTCCAAAGATGTCATTTTAAAACACTGTCAAAGCACATGGACAATATCAGTATGTATATTAAAGGAAAAGATAATGAAAGCTTATATCTAGAAGGGATAAGCCAAATGGCAAATGATTTAGGTAAACTAGAAAAATGGTCAGAGTTGTGGCAGCTGACATTTAATGTGGATAAGTGCAAGATAATGCATATTGGACATAAAAACCCAAGGGCAGAGTACAGAATATTTGATAGAGTCCTAACCTCAACATATGAGGAAAGGGATTTAGGGGTGATTATTTCTGATGACTTAAAGGTAGGCAGACAATGTAATAGAGCAGCAGGAAATGCTAGCAGAATGCTTGGTTGTATAGGGAGAGGTATTAGCAGTAGAAAGAGGGAAGTGCTCATGCCATTGTACAGAACACTGGTGAGACCTCACTTGGAGTATTGTACGTAGTACTGGAGACCGTATCTTCAGAAGGATATTGATACTTTAGAGAGAGTTCAGAGAAGGGCTACTAAACTGGTTCATGGATTGCAGGATACAAGACTTACAAGGAAGTGTTAAATGATCTTTAACATATATAAAGGGAATCAACACTGTAAAGTAGGAGACTATTTAAAATAAGAAAAACTACCACAACAAGAGGACCATCTTAAATTAGAGGGGCAAAGGTTAAAAACTAATATCAGGAAGTATTACTTTACTGAGATGGTAGTGGATGCATGGAATAGCCTTCCAGCTGAAGTGGTAGATGTTAACACAGTGAAAGGGTTTAAGCATGTGTGGGATAGGCATAAGGATATCCTAGATATAAGATAAGGCCAGAGAAGAATGAAAGTATTTAGAAAATTGGGCAGCCTAGATTGGACAGATGGTTCTTATGAGACGTCACATTCTATGTTTCTATGCAAGCTGTAAGTGTCCCAGTTAATGGAGGTAATCTGAAAATTGAGAAATGTGCAATTTTTATCACTACGTTCTGTTTCCAAAAGAGACTTCTGAAAAAGTCCAGGAATTAGAAATAGGCATTCAGTTTGAGAGCTCCCCTGATTACTGCTAATACGAATTAGATAATGTGCTTTTGACACATCTGTGTAATGAAATCTGACTGCGTGTGTGTATATGTCACTAGCATTTGCTACATCCATTTCTTTGCAAGGGAAAGTATTGATTTGCTGAAAAATAGCAAGTATTCTGTCTTTTTTCCAGTTCAGTATTTTCAGTATGTGTTGCCTAGAATCATTTGGCATCATCCTTTTCCTTAATATTAAGTATTTTAATAATATTTTGATCTAAATCAAAGGACTTTCAGTGCTAAGGCACCATCCCCCATCTTGTCAGTTGGACAAAATTGACAATAATGTAGTGGCATCAATTCTGCAATATTAATGAGAATGAGATGGGGTTTCTATGCACCAAAAAATATATATACTTATACTTCCATACACGCAATTATAGAGTGGTGATTCTTACCTTTTAACTACTTAAGTATTAACTATTCATGGTTCAGACCTACCACAGACTATTTGGAAATAGATACAGTCAAAAACCCATATCCTAAGCAAGAAGCGAAGTCTGACAGGAAAGTATAAATTGTCAGGGCTTCAGGCCCTGACAATTTTTCATTCTGCATTCTGAGGATTTAGGATGTTTTGGGGCACATTATACTAAGCTGTCATTTAAAGATGGTTTTTGCACCCATTCCTTTTTGGGAACCCATTTACTTACCCAAAAAACATCGTATATGAGAAGCCCAGAAAGCAGCAGACAAGACACCTTCAAACTGGGCAGACGAACAAAGGCAATCATTGCCACACACAGTCCCATGGCCAAGGCTGTAATAAGTAAAATTAATAAATATATTTAAAAAGAGTGCTAAATCCCTTTAATGTAAACATGAGATCCAGCAGCCCAGCAAAGAAATTGCACAGTCACTTATCAAATTATTCTAGAAATTAAACCGTAAATTACAAAATTGCATGCACAGCTACCAACTTTGTAGAGCAATTGCATACAATACAGATTCAGTAATCCCTGGTTTAAATAATCAAATCCCATTCATGGAATTAACTTTACAATCCACCCATCAACTACACAATTAGCTTAATGACTGATATGACCAAGATTCCCGAGGTATGATGAATAAGATTTGACCAAAGCAAACATTGAGGACCCACATTATGTGTGCCAATACAGAGGCTACAAAACCATGGACTTAGATTTTTCTGACAGCTTTCCCAGATGTTACTCACCATCCATAAGCAGCCAGTGACCTGTGAGCACCCAAATAAGGACAAGCATCACAGAAAGGGAGAATGACAATAGCTCGGCAACTGTGAAACGGCCACAGCATCCAAAGGATATCCTGCAAAACACAAACCAAGTTTCACAAAGTCCTTAAAGAACCTTTGAAGTAGTAATAATGGCTATGTTTATAAAGTGATCAGTTAAACACCTAAAGTTAAGAAAGTGCCAGTGACTTCCTGGCAACATTCATTTTTATGAAGTTATGGTGCCCTGACTGTTCCTTTTTTATCAGGTATCCAGATTATTTTCTAGAGCTCTGTAGAAATTTTGGGGTGCAAACAAGAGTTTGCATTGGAAGAAGGTTGCTGCATTAAAGCAGTACAGTTAACCAGTGATATTACCAAGCAGGGTTTACAAAATAACAGGTGTCAAGCAATCTTTTTGAAAGGTTCAGAAGGAAAAATAGCAGCACTCTTAGAAACTAAAGTAGTATTCCTAAAATAGTAATATAATATTACATAAATGACATGGCTCAATGATATTTGTAGTAAATTCATTCCTAGGTTTAAAAAAAACAAAAAACACAAAAACAAATGCAAATGCCAAAGCTGCAAGTATCAAGTCTAAAAATGGGCATGTATAGTGATAGTGTGTGTGTCAGACATGCTATACTTGTGGGACTTCAGTAGTTCATTGAGACATACCATTGTTTATAAAGGTTTAAAATAGTTTAACCTCTTTAACAAAGTCATTTGATTAATGCATTTATTGCTGCTTATTAACAACTCCTATAATTCGCACACAGCCAGGAAGACTACAATATAACTGGCTAAAAGCTATCCCTGTAACTGAACACTAGGCACCATGTTTGTTTGTTTTTTAAACCATAGCAAGAAAACAGATAGTCGGAAATAAAATCGCCAACAGCAGGTTCAAATCTAGTATTAAAAATATCTTAAAGCATGCCAAACATTACTATTTAAAGCAAACACTACAAGGACACAACTATGTATATTTTTCACAGTAGCATTGTGTACTCCTTAAACATATGCAAAGAGGACAATGCTTTTTATTTGCAATCGCGAGAAAAATTTAATATAAAAGAAGTGCAGAGGGGTGGAGTGATGAAACAAGTGACTGCATTAATGCAGCAAAAAAAACAATGGGGCACATTTAATACCAAACAAACACTGGGGGTGGTGAGCAAATGAAGATTACATGGCAAGGAGCAAAAAAAATAATAATTAGCCACATGCATGTGAATAAGCAAACTGGCTGTAGACAAACAAAGGGATGACAGAAGGAATAGTTAGATGAAAGATGAAGGCATAAATAATATAGTAAAGGGTAAGAAAAATGTCTCTGAACAAAAACAAAATAGCCTAGATACAGGATTTAATTATATGTATCTACACAGACACTAAGAATTTTGGTCTATTAACCCATACTCACTTGTTCTGAGTAGAACAGGGCCTGGTTAAATACTGGCACATTGGGAGCAAAAGGAATGCAAATGCTATTGTTGCAAGAACTGTGAATAGAAAAAGGGGGTGGGGGAGAGAAAGAGAAATGAGTACCTAGTTGTTACCAATGATTTACACAGTTGGGTTGACCTGTAAGACTCACCAGCAGTGCAAATTGTAAAAACGACTTGTACAGAGTCAAAGAAGAAAAACATGACCAGCAGAGAGACAGATGCGCCAATGGGAAGGAACAAAGCCTGAGTTGAGTCAATAGTTTGAATACCTGAAAGAGAACAGTTTTGTTAAAAGTTTGGCAACAAATTGTACACCCGAACGTCAATTTTCCTATATTCATAATTCATCACTTACAAAGTCTTCAGGAAAACTCATTCACAAACCAGTCAATATATATTGAAATGAGTAATCTCTAAATCCAATACTTTGTTGCTCCAATGACAGCTCTGACAATGTTATTTAAAGGAACTTGCATCACTTTGAGACAGCTGTCTCAGTCAAAGGCTTTAACGCTTTAACGTACTTTCACACCCACTGCAAGGGACACAATTATCTAATCAGGGTTTTATCCCTAGGAATGTAAAAGTGCATTGGGCATGCCTGACAGCTTTACACATGTGTAGTTGTAAGATCTCTTCACCTTGCAATATACTGACAAAGTTTGAACAATGTTATTGTGCAGAGCAGACTCCGGTGTCTGGTTTCTCTCTTCCTGTTGCTGCATAATGATGCCCGGTTTCAGTCATTAGTGGGCTGGTCTTAAATTTAGATAAGTTGGTAAGAGGAGGGGGTGGAGGGGAGGCTGCAGAAATGCCCCTAGCTGAAAAGTAGGCCTAATAAAGTAATCTGATCAAGTTCATAAGCATTTATTACGTACTTTTCACAGTTCTGCTTGCTTCATCTTTGTATATTTGTATAAATGTGTTTAAACTGCTGGCTTATAAAAAATAATTGTGAAATGATACATGTCCCTTTAACCAGGCAAGCGAAAGACTTCTACAGCATGTGGGGATCTACTTTTGACTACCTTAAGTCAAGAAACCATAATAACAATGAGATCCGTAACCATGCTACACAAATTAGTCTGTTAAATATTTGTTATCTATGTTAATTTATTTTGCTATAAGAGGGAATGCGGCTGTCGGCAAACGTGGTTCTGTTTTCTCCAGACCCTGTAAAGTAAGACATTACTTTTTAAGAGTGCAGCAACACCAAAATTCTAGGTTTCATTATTATGAGTGTGTAGGACTGCCTAAGGAAATAATTTAAATGATACTGCATTTTTGCAGTTTAATATGGGAGAAATATAAGCTTTTACTTGTCATTCAAAGTGGTTACTAAAACTATTTTTTATATATTAACCAGAAATAAATACAGAAAAAAAAATTAATGGATACCAGCAAAACTATGTGTTATATAGCAAAATAACTTTTAGATTATATGTCTGAAGATAAATATTAACTTGGTGATGGAAAAATTAGGGGGGAAAAAGTCTTAATACAGAACACAACAGAAATAATCAGTCGTTTTGTCCTACTGTGGGGAAAAAAGGATGCTGATGTAAATCATTTTATCACTTTATATTATTCACAAAAGCCTGATTCAGGATGCTGGCATCCACACATATTTTGTGCTTTTATTGCAAGTATCAGTTGACAGCTAACTATAAGAATCATTTTATAGGATTGTGCACAGGATTAAGGCACCCGAACCTAATCCTACCAGGCAATGGTCAGAAATTAATTGGATTAAATGCTACATCACTGCACAATAATGATTCAAAGGTCATGTCATACACTCAGCTTTGCAACTAACCACAGCAGACATGCAAGACACCATCTACAAAATCATTGTGTATTATAATTGTGAGCCTGTCTGGCCCACCATCCTTTTCAGCCTCTTCTTACTATTGTTGGTGCTGTTCCCACTAAAGGTCCCAGGGGAGCTACTACCATCCTTCTCCTTGTCTTGATTTTCAAAATCCATGTTGAGAGACCTACAGAGAAGACAAAGATTGAAAAAAACTGTAGTCTTCACAAATATAAAGTAACATTAATTCTGTTGCATAGTGTTGCAAAAAAGTGAAACCTTAGAACACAGTGGGATTTTCCTTTTTTGTTCCAATTGTAGCATTTTTAAAATAGAATTCCATACTGTACTTTTGACTTTACATAAATAATACATCTTGGTGGCTATAATTCTAACTGTGAAGTCTGTATCAAGACACGTGTACATGTTCTGCCCATAATATAACACTGGCAGATAGTAATATCCTGCAGCAATAAAGGACTTGGAAATGAAGAGGTACACAGAGCTCCGAATGGTTCGTGATACAAAAAGCTTCTCTTTTCCTACACAATCACAGCTTCCAATGAGTAAAATACCCGCTATGAGGATGGCAGTGTTCCAGTGACTACTTTACACAGTGGCTGTGTTTTGCACACAATAGCTGCATGAATCATGCATTTAGGCACAGATGCAGCAAATCCATGAAATAGGAAAGGAGACAGACATTGATAAACTGCTCCAGATTGCTGTCATTCCAGTGCTTACTGCGGGTGGCATAAATGTTACCAGATACACACCTGAAGCTGCCATAGACTATAAGAAGGATTGAAATCAGGAACGTGGAGACTTGACTAGAATCCACCAAAGAATAAGCCCTAGAGGAAAGAAGAAGGAAGGCTGAGTTAATACAACATGACACAATAAATATCCATTCTTTTCTTTGAGATCTACATAATAATTAAAAAAATATATATATTTAAAAGCACAATATAGTTATAGGCTGAAAAGAGACCTGTGTCCATCAACTTCAGCCTTCCTATATGTACTGTATGTCCCCGTAGAGAAAGCTTAACACAAGCGTCAAATTTATACAGTCGCGAACATAAGTCGCGAACATAAGTCGCGAACATAGCATATTGGGCAATAGCTTGATACAAACATGCATTAGAAAAATAAGCAATAAAGTAGGCAATAACGCACAGTATTTCGCCAGCAAACAAGGGGAGATTTTGTATGCTTGCAGTGGTAGACCTCAGAGGTTTGTTGACTTTTATGTCCTAAAGGTACCAATGCCAGCACAAAATGCTACAGTGTCCTAGTCACCGTTTAGGTGACCCAACCAAATGAAGTAAGTATGTTATTCATCTTATCTCTGATGCCGCAGTGCTAGCTACACAGTTGGCCCCGCCTCCTTAGCAGAGATGCAAAATCTTTATTATCTCAATCAACGTTTTTCTATAGGAAAGCATTGTGAGGCTAACACGCCTGGACAGCCAAACTCCATGCTGCACAAATCCGATTGTCTCTGTGACCACCTGATTGAAATAGCCAAGTTTTACTCTGTAATTTGCTTGGAAACAACTCTACAGACTGTCAATATGTGGGAATGACAAATTTCTCTACAGTAGTAAGAATGGAACAAGAATTCAATCGTGTGTATTTTCAGCAGCTAATGCAACTAAAAGCCTTGGGGGATTGGTATTATGGGTTTTACCTTTTTCTTAACTACACAGTAGCTATAATTCTTCTTTTAACGGTTAAGCAGAAGGAGAGCAGCATCCAGCATGCAAATTCGAGGAAATGCAAGAGAAGGATAACTCACTCTTCGCCACAGGAGCAGACAATGCACCCAAAGCACAACCTTGTGTGCTTCCACCAACCATCCAGTATGATAATCTGATATACTTTGGTAACTCATAAGTAAGAAAATGGATTTGGGACATATACGTTTATGCATCTAAGGCTCCCCCTCACCCTCCCCTCCCAAGCTTCAAAACTTAAGAAGCATGAGTACTGCAACTCTTCAAAGTATACAGCACACTGCAAAACTCCCTATTTTATACAAAATATTCTGATGCCCTTCTGTTTTCCATCTTTTTACAGTGTGCCATATTCTAGGCTACACTTTGGCATAATAATACTGACTTTTTGGAAACCCACAGTTTTTGCCTACTTCTCAAAAAAATTAATAATAATAATAATAATAATTAGGTATGCTTATTTGGGGAAAAATCTAACTTGGTAAACCAGAAAAGATAGCTTGATCTTAGATGAAATTGAACAGTGTTACTATAAGTAAATAAGTGTTACCATAAGGGAAATCACTATACAGTTTTTGCTCATTTACTTTTAAGACTTACTGTGAGTGGTATATTATAAGGGGTTTATGGGTAGAACATTGTGGATGCTAATAATGTTACAGAAGTCTAAACAGGGAATCTGCAAGTTTTCTTGTAAGAATATCATTGTGTTAAAAACAGAATCGCAGTACACCTGCTTCCTTATTTTCATTTCACGTAAAGAATGCAGGAGGTAATACATCAAATTCAAATTATCCAAGGTAGACTGGTTTACAGGTTTTGCAAATGTGGTAGCTTCCAGATGAGGCACATAAACAGAATAAAATATGCATATATAAAATGTTTATTTATATTTCATTTATATTGTATTGCAACATGCCCATGGAGGGAATGAAGTACAATTTAAATGTGGCGTTGACCATTATAGCCTACCAAATCTATTAACCACAGACACAGGAACTAACTGAAATTGGTTTTGCTATAAGAGAGGGAAAAAAAAAATCTCATTTTAAGACTACCCTGTGCTCTCTGAAAAACCCTCCAGGATTCCACTCTACCAAGCAGGATTGGCAAAAACTTCAAGTTAAATGGCAACATATAGTCTATGTATGTATGGGGATAAAAATCTTGGGTGGTTCCACAGATTTGTTATTACATTTGTCAATGTGGTACAGCACAGAAGTGCCCACATCTACCCCACACACACCTATAAACTGGATTGTTACAGACCTTCCTCTCTTCTCCAATCTTTCACTTTTGGCATCTTTGATACTTTTTTCCTTCATTGTATTACAAATTGCTTCTTTATTTTTCTTTCAGCTCCCCTCTCTCCCACTTCCTTTAGTTGGTATCCCAAGGCTCTTTGCCCAGGAAATCCTTCTGTACATCTTTCTTGGCAATTAAACAATCTGACTTCCAGTACCACATGGATGATAGCAACGATCTTTTTTGATTGTGTTTCCAGTTGCTTCTTTACCATCTCTAACTGCATATCTGATCTTTTTGAAACAAACCTTTTCAAATCAGAACTTCTTCACTACTTTACTTCAATAAGCGTTACCCTTTCTATGCCAATATAATATCCAAACAGGCTTCTTTTTTGACTGACAACTCGGTAAACAGTAAACCACCACATCCAATTACCTTAGTCAGGAAAAAAAAAAAATCTTCCATTTGCCATTTTCTAATTTACAATTAATTAATACGGTTTCTTCCCCTATCAGCAGTCCTTAAAACCGAACTAAAAATGCAAATCCTCCAACCTCTCCATAGCTCTACACTAACTTACGAATCTTTGACATTAATTAAAAACACACTCTCACCTCTTCCAATATACCGAGGAGAAACATTGGTTGTCTCTTTTTTCATGCCCCATAGATGTGGAAATCCACCATCAGGCTCCCCCCTCCACTGATCAGTTTGTTTCACATAACCTAAGTTGTCTGCTCAGTGAGGGTCTAAGAATTTTCATGTTCTTACTATACTGTTCCGTAACAAACATTTACAGGAACACTGTATATGGTTGACACCTATGTAATCTTCGTTTGCGAGTATATTTTACTCACTTACCTATCGTGTAATTAGCACCCACTCCCTTTAGCGAGTATGTTTGTTTGGTAACTGCCTTTGTCATCTTTTGCTCCTGTTTGCAAAGCTTGTTTTGTCACTTACTTGTAATAGTGACAAAAAAAGCTAAGCAAACAGCACATTTAAAAATATATATTTGCACTACATAAATACAAATGAGAGGTGATGTCAACTGAGTGGAATTTAACTTTTCCCATGAACTTTAGAGATTCAAGAACTGTCAAAAAAATGCAGAAAGATGCAATCTGAGAACTGCAGTGCTAGAGACTCTCTCCAATAACTTAGAGCACAGCATTTTTAAGAAAAAGCAGTAATCTATAAAACCTGTGACAGGTGCAGATCATAAAAGGGATATACCAGTAAACAAATAAACATATTAGAATTTATAATTTATGCAACAACTGGGGACATGTAAAACAATTCTTTAAAAATAAACATTTGATTTAAAAAGTTATACAATCTTGGTCTTCTAAAACCCCACAACATTTTTGTTGGCCAAGAAGTCAGCAACATTATCACAATGCAAGAATCTAAGGGCAACAGTTTAAGTGGATTTGTAGAACTATGGTTTGCAGCAACATCTGTGAAATGTGCTAAACAGCAGCATCCAACCCACACATTGTGAGCAACGCCTGCCATTCACAAATAAAAGAACCAACCAATGTTATCCCTGGTTAGGCAATTTGCAGCCCAGGGAGATTTTAATAACTGTTATGCAGTCCCAGAACTATTTGGGACTGCTTTACAAGAGAGGGTTTCCATCACAGAGCCTCTGTAGAAATGCCAGGCTGAGACACAGAGCGCTCTGTCAATGTTGTACAATGGGCACATTCTTTACTGTTAACCACAACAGCCATTCACCCCCACCACTGTCACCTTCTACAGACTGGCACGCTGAAAACAGCCCTGGCTCGTAACACCGAGCCACACAGCACATATCACACACTGGTGTAAAAAGGTACATATTCCAAAGCAACGGGTTAAACAAAGAACAGTTTTCTGTAAACATGTACTGGGTGTTGCTGAGGTTCTATTTGGCATGAAAACAGATGTGAACACTGGATCCTGAGACGGTATACAGATTTATACAAGTAGAAAACACGATCACACTTGCTGGCATAAGTGAACACCTAATGTGTATTTTAATTTATAATTATATATCATAAGCACAAAGTACTATTAAAAAAACCCACAAAGAAAATGTGTAAAATCAAGTTCTAAAACAAACGTATTTTTTCAATCAAATAGATCGTGTGCAATTGAAAACATTGGGCCTTCATAAGAAAGAAGAAAAACTACCACAACAAGAGGACATAGTCTTAAATTAGAGGGGCAAAGGTTTAAAAATAATATCAGGAAGTATTACTTTACTGAGAGGGTAGTGGATGCATGGAATAGCCTTCCAGCTGAAGTGGTAGAGGTTAACACAGTAAAGGAGTTTAAGCATGCGTTGGATAGGCATAAGGCTATCATAACTATAAGATAAGGCCAGGGACTAAAAAGTATGTTTTTATAAATTGGGCAGACTAGATTGCCCGAATGGTTCTTATCTGCCGTCACAGTCTATGTTTCTAAGAAGGGCAGTGCTACTTGTTCTCCCCTCAACAGTTAATATTTTTTACAATTTTTACTGTAATGGCCACCATCACACAAAGCACCTGTGGTTTCAGCCACCAGCACATCATAATACTCTGTCTTATCGACATAACTGTTCTGAGCATTTTGGGAACTCATCTAAACTCCCTCCTATTACTATTCCTGACATCAACACCACTTATAAATGGAAAGAGAGCTGTGAATCAGAAAAAAATTGTGTGCAGTCTAGGAAAAATTTTCTCAGCAAAAAAGATTATAATCCAAGTGAGAATGTCTTTCTAAAAATATCTTAAACTGCTGAACTTTTTAAATATTCTACCAGACTTATTTGTGCTGTAGTGATGAAATATATATATATATATATTTTATTTAAGGTGACAGATTAGCTTGTTTCTTAGACGCCATCTGAGCCAGGCTGTTCATCTCTGTTTGGGACCAGGGCAGTTAGACACTGCAACCTAGACACTTTGGGCAGAACTTCAGCATGAAGTGTGTCTTCTGGGCACACAAACAGTACACACAGAGGAGAAAGTCACAGCCATAACAGCAATAACAAACATCCTTCAGGTTCAGCACGTTTAAAAAAAAAAAAAAAAAATAGGTTGAAATGCTGCTAATCTTGTAAACACATCACTTTGATATTGTATACTTTTTCTGTACAATCAGGCAAATAGCTGGAAATAGAAGAAAGTAGAACTTGTACCAATGATAGCTTGTTAATTTGGGAGGTTAGAGATTTTATTTTTCACAGTAAATAAGTAATTTTCTTTTACAATCATTAGATATTAAAAGGGGCACTCTAGGTTATAGGGCACTGGAAAGGTTATTCCTGGCACCACCCCCAGTTAATCTATCAGACCATTTGCAACAATGATTAAAGGGACACTATAGTCACCCGGACCACTTCAGCTCAATGAAGTGGTCTGGGTGCAATGTCCCTCAGGTTTTAAACCTGCAGATGCAAACATGTTTACATTGCAGGGTTAAGCCAGCCAGCATTGAAAAAAAAGCTTTCCTATTGACCGGTTGAATGCACACGCGGCACTTGCCACGCATTCGGCTCCGCTGACGTCGGCAGAGGGAGCTGACGTTGGCGGGGGAGGAGAGGTCACCAGCGCCGAGGGAGCCCGGCGCTGGAAAAAGGTAAGCTGCTGAAGGGGTTTTAAGTGCCCTTAGGGCACTATAGTGTCAGGAAAACCACTTAGTTTTCCTGACACTATAGTGATCCTTTAAAAGATACACTAGACACAAAGCACTTGATAATGACATGCTTTGTGTGTCTGGAGAAATCGGCACTTTTATAAAACATTGCTGTCAGACAACTGGGAAGGTTATCCTGTGTTTCCATTAGCTCTACAGCACCAGTGGAAGCCGTAGGCCTGCGCTAGTTCGCATGTGCCTTCCCCCTGTTCAATGAGTTATGCTAGTTCACAGAGTCCGATACAATTCCATGCACACTACTCCAGCACAGAGAATTCTCTATGGTAAGCATCTGCTTGAAAGTCCCTACCAAAAAAAAAAAAACGCAGGAATCACTTGTTTAGCTTTGTTGGGTGTCTGATCCTTCTAGTCTGCAAATATATGCTAGCGCAGATGCGGGTATTTTCGCATTAGCAGTTGAACTTTGGAAATGAAATTCATTGGCAAAGATGGTCATAAATAAAACATGAATTTAATAGATGAAACAATCTGTTTAAATAAAAGTCAAGATATGAAGGTCTATCTGCCACTTGTCTTGATCAAAATGGCTCTGTCAAGCCCCCTTGCCCGCCAGCTGAAGTGCCAGAAGAAGAGAGCCTCGTGGAAAAAGATTGTTGTGCCTTTGCAAGCTATGGGAACAGAGCCTCTGTAAGTCTATAATGTGAAGAACCTTTAAATGGACATACTAGAACATGAGACTGAATCACTATCATACACGTGGTATATGTCATCACAGTTTAATTGTAAGAAAGATGTGCAGAAGGATTTCATAGAGAAAGAGCCATGGGGTATCGACTGAAGGAAACCAGAGAGAGAAGGAGCTGGCATATTTTTAGAATTAGTCCAATGGCCATTAGATTGTAAGCTCACCTGTCACGTCAATGGTTAATAAGTAGGTAGGGGTTTAGAAAAATACCTCTGTCTTTTTTTCTGTTAGTTGAAAGCAACAAGGTGAATTGCCAGTGTAGGGCTCACCTAAAGGGTTTGCCTTGACATGGCAGGTGAGCTTACACACTAATGGCCATTGAAGTGATCCTAAAAACCTCCAGTTATTCAAATGTGCATTGGGATTTGAGATCGTGTGCAAGTAACTCTTTTCTCTGTTTTATTGTATGTAACTGAATTCAACAAACACTGCATTTAGGAAATAAAAATCAGAGCTGTAGGGTTTGAACAATTATTTCAAGGTGAATTGACAGAGAAGGAAAGCAATAGGAAAATCAACAGGATACCTGATTTTTTTTAATGCTTTGGCAGCAGAAAATCAAGCAGTACCAATGCGACTTTACCATCACACTGATATCACAATGACTAATACAAAAGGGTTCTCACCCCTAAAAAGGGAAACCCTCTAAGTCAGAACTTACAATTTCAGGTCCTAAGCTACTTGCCAGAAAGTTACTCGCCAAATGTTTCAGTTTATGGCCTTGCTGTGCTATAACGCACTTGACCTTGCATATGCTTCACACGAGAAGATCGTTTGTATAGACTTTTGTTCTTGTTCTCCTTCTGGCACTTTATGCATGCCAATCACATGTGTCATCTCATAAAAGGGACACTATAGGCACCCAGACACTTCAGCTCATTTAAGTGATATTGGTGAACATTCCCACGTCCCTTAACCCTGCAAAGGTAATTATTGCAGTTAATAAACGGTAATAATTACATTTGTGGGTTAACTCCACCTCGCTGTTCATGCACAGTAAGTGAAAACTGGGATTTAAACTGAATTTTAGAACTTTAAGAAACATTTTCATTGCTTACTTGTACAGTAAAAGTACTGCATTTAAAATATTCCAAATAATAACAGATTCAATGTAGGCAGGTTTTACATCTATATTCCAAGTATAAGGGATACATCTTTTATAAATTTACTGCAAGTGGACCAAATTGTGAGGTTACACAGAGCATGCAAGATCGATCAAAGTTTAATTGAAATTATATAAAATCTGTAAACTCTGAACAATTGAAAGAAATGGATTTGGAAATCAAGACTAATTAAGCGCTTAAGGGCTGAGCCAATTGTACAAGTTGTGATCAAATCAAATCGTAAACAAAACCTTGAATTTACGCTATATGTCTGTTCAGGCGTAATTCACCTCTTTTTATATTATGTGTACCCACACTTACATATCATTTTGTTCAGGAGAAACGGTCTTTCATGTCACATCAAATATTTGTATATTAAGCATAATTTAATATGAATAAAATATAAAAACTAAGTGGCTACTAAAAAAGACTGGACATACCCCATTTGCAATAACTTGGGTTGTCTGACCTGGTCTTGAAAAAAGTCCAGATAGGACTGAAACGTCGACACTTTTTTGTAATATTTGATGCTTCAATAAACAAGCGTGATTTAATAATATTATCGAGTCCTGTGAGTGCACTTCAACAAGGTTTCATATACATATATACACACACACACACGATACCAATAGAGAGCACTCAGGAGTCTTTCAAAGTAAATTTCATCTGTTGCTTTATTAAGCAATTACAAATTCACACAACGTTCTAGTCGACGTTTCAGTCTGTAAAAGAATATATATATTCCAAGTACTTTAATTTACTTTATAAAAAACTTTATTAACTTTAAAAACTTTTTGCAGGCGTTAGGGGGACTGCCTGAGAGCTCAGACAGGCCCCCTGCAGGCCCGGCATAAGCCGGCTATTCTGGCCATGTGATCGCAAGGACCCCGCAATCACATGGCCGGAGGGGGGGGGGGGGGGTTGAGCAGAGGGGGTCTGCCTGAGCTCCTAGACAGACCCCAGGATCGCGACCCAGTAAATACAAAGGATGGCGGGGTCGTTCTATGCTGCCCGGTGGCGTTTAGGACTGCCCGCCGTCCTTAAGGGGTTAAGCGTTCATATACAGTAATGGGAAAAAGAAAGTACACACTAAGAATTCTATGGTTTTAGATATCAGGACACAATAGCAATCTGTTCCTTAGCAGGTCTTAAAATTAGGTAAAAACATCCTCAAATGAGCAACACACATTGTTACATGATTTAAAAAAAATAAAGCCAAAATGGAGATGCCATGTGTGCAAAAGTATAACACTACCTCTTCCCTATGAATGAAGAGGCTTAGTAGCAGACAGGTGCTGCTAATCAAATGCCCTTTATTAAAGGGACACTATAGGCACCCAGAACACATCTCATTGAAGTGGTCTGGGTGCAGTGTCCCTGTCCTGTTTTTGAGAAACTGCTACGATTACTGTGCAAGACTAAGACTATCTCCAGTGGCTGACTATCAGACATCTACTATAGGCAATTCAGAAACGACGCTGAGCATCCTTGCACTCTGCATTAGGATATCCAGCAACAGTGAAGTCCGAATAGATAAGTATTGAGACAATGCTTTCCTATGTAGATAGCCTAATGCGTGAAGTGATGTATGGCCACAATGCACAGCACCATGTTTGGCAAAAACTAAACAGCATATAAGAATAGCAACAACAAAGTGTTTAACCAGGAAAGGTACATTCAGAAATTCTCTGGTTCCAAAGTACTTCCTGGGAATGTTACTTTTGCCCAACATCCATGGGATATTACATTACCCAATTTAATGGTACTCATTTTATTTACCTCGGAAGGATGAAAGACTGAGTTAACCAAGCTGGGAATTAGACCTGCAACCCCCAGGGGTTGAGCAGATTCTGCTGATGATGCATTATCCTACTGAGTTATCTTACTATCAGGACAAACACCTCATACTAGCTTTCAAGCATGGTGATTTGGGCTTGTTTTGCAGCCACAGGACTTAGAAACCTTGCAATCATTGAGTTGACCATGAACTCCTCTGTATACCAAAGTATTATAGAGTCAAATGCGAGACCATCTGTCAGACAGCTAAAGCTTGGGCAAAATTGGGTCATGCAACATTTAGAACTAAATTCCTACTAGAGGGTACTTTAGATTCACCTGCTGTCCAACATACTACTGGGTCTTAGCAGGACAAGTCATGGTGAGCTTTGACAGGCAGCTAGCGGAGAGAAGAAATTAGCTCACACGGACAGCATGTCTTTATGCAAAATCATATGTTCTCATCAGGGGTTTTATAGACATTTCATTCAATATATTGCAATTAGTGGAGCAAAGCTATACAATTTCATTGGCTAGTATATTTGTCTTTTCCAGCTCCATTTCATAGAGAAGGGTGTTGCTGGACTCACTATGCAACATTTAACCCTTTATATATGAATATAATTAACAGGACAATGATCCCAAGCAAACCAGCAAATCTACAACAGAATGACTGAAAAAGCAAAGAACTAAAGTGTTAAAATGGCCCAACTAAAGTCCAGACCTCAACCTGATTTTAAAATGCTGTGACAGGACCGCAAATGAGCTGTGCATAAACAAAACTTAATTTTTCCCATGTCTGTATATTCAGATTAAATTCATATAGTCTAAGAATTGCACAAGAAATTTGGAAAAACACTCAAGAAAGAGAAAAGTAACAAATGGTAAGAGTCATAAGTTTTGTAGTGGTTCCACAACAACATATTTATTACCCCCTCTGAAACCCCCCCCCCACCTCACCCCCTTTTGACTCTAGTAAATGCAGTCCCACCAAGTTCCTCACTATGGCATCACCACAACCTTAGCCTCCAGACCAGGGACCAGGAATTCCCATTGGCTGCTTGCAACTCGGTTTTTGGAAGATAACAATGGCCGGCTAGAACATCAACCAGGTGGTGCTCGAAGACCAGGCAGTCTACCAGAACGCTAATTATAGAGGACAGAGAGCGGAAGAATAATCTAAAGATGCCCAGGAATCGGAGGTGCTCCCCACTCTGAGGCCCCAGAAACACCTTTTCCCTGACCGGGATTAAAGGACCACACCACACTTCCAACACCCGACAGTTTAGTAACTATACCTCCAATGAATACATGCATGCATATTTTTATGTATATATTCATTGCGAGTCTAAAAGTTTTAATTGGCTGCAGTTTTTATGATGGTAGCATTTGTAAACCCTCCTCTTTTTTCATGGAAGACACGTTCAGTCTCTTCACAAAGAAATAACCAGAGGTTACTCATTGAGAAGCCTCTGACTTGGTCCACGCGTGCACATGTGCCGGTTCGTGCACATACGCATCCCGGTGCGTGTGCCCTTCTTAAATCAAGGAGCTGGTCTGAGGTCTGTGAGGGACACTCATATAGCGTGCCTGCCACTTCCGTTAGTTCAGAGGAGCTAACGGAAGTAGGAAGGAATCCTCCCTGCCTGTCTGAGTGACAGCCGGTGGGGGAAGTTCCCTAGTTAATTCATAAAAGTGCTGATTTCCTACTGAAATTAGCACTTTAACTGGGGTTAAACTAGGATACCCCTTATTTTGTGGTGTGGAGTGGTCAATTAAGCAACTGCACAACTGGAACGCGACCCGGTCACAATGTAAAGTGTTGTAGTTTGAGCTAGGAACCTATGATCCGGGCATTAATTGGAGTGTAAAAATATGTAGATTCAGGTATGCCTAATGCAACACACAGGGATGAGGGAGTTTGACTTGTGGTGGGTTGCTCAAGACTGGACAAAGACAGGAGTTCACCCAATACCTGTCTAAAGAAGTATAGTACGAGGGGGTAGCACCTTAATTCGGTGTAATATATCCAGGAGCTGTTTCACCCACAAATGGCTGTTTGTTAGAGAGATATATATATATATATATATATATATATATATATATATATATATATATATATATTTGTGCCAAATAAGGTACAAACAAGAAGTTCAGATATTGTGGAAAAGTGATCTAGCAATATGTATGGTGTATACGTCTTTAAATCTGCTAGAGGCAGAATAAGTGTGGTATACACCAAATAATCTACTTAGTGCAAGCAACTATGTGACACAGAACACAAATCAATATAGTGACACAACTATTTATAATGTATACCTCTTTAAATCTGCTACAGGCAGACTGACTGAGTTGTGCACCAAAAATGCTTCTTTACCTAAAACTGTCAATCATGCAGATTAAAAATACATTACTTGGTACTGTATTATATAGTGCAGTGACTTTAAACATTAAAAAAAATATATAAAAAGTAAAAAAAAATGAAAAACCATTATTTAAAAAAGAAAAAGGAGAAATAAGAATAGTTAAGAACTAATGAAAAATGTATTCACAATTATAGAATTATAAAAATACTGAAAATTTTAAAAGTCAGGAACGGTTTGCAAGAGAATTACCAGCAGAAAGGTAGTCCTTTTTTCAAAATAACCACTGAGACCGCTGGGATTGATGTGGATACTTTGTATCAGAATTAGTTTCTGTACTTGCCGGCTGGGTTGGCATGCGTCCCAGACCTCACTCTGGGTGGTAGGTGTTTTCGGCCAATTGGTCCACAGATCGTGTATACTTTTCGGTGGAAAGAGAAGTTCCTTCTGCCGGTTCAAAACTGCGTCCGTATCCTGCTTGCTGCTGTCTAATGCGTTTCGTGGGTATTCTTATTTCTCCTTTTTCTTTTTTAAATAGTGTTTTTTCTATTTTTTTTACTTTTTATATATTTTTTTAATAATGTTTAAAGTCACTGCACAGTACCAAGTAATGTATTTTTAATCTGCATGATTGACAGTTTTGGGTAAAGAAGCATTTTTGGTGCACAACTCAGTCAGTCTGCCTGTATCAGATTTAAAGAGGTATACGTTATAAAATAGTGTCACTATATTGATTTGTGACATCAACTAAAGCATAATATAGAAAACAGCCCTCTATGCTGTTGTTCTGTGTCACATAGTTGCTTGCACCGAGTAGATTATTTGGTGTATACCACACTTATTCTACCTCTAGCAGATTTAAAGACGTATACACCATACATATTGCTATATCACTTTTCCACAATATCTGAACTTCTTGTTTGTACCTTATTTGGCATAACTATATATATATACTCCTAACAAACAGCCATTTGTGGGTGAAACAGCTCCTGGATATATTACACCGAATTAAGGTGCTACCCCCTCGTACTATTAATTGGACTGTGTGTGACTCTGGGAGCTACCTGGCTATGTACAATATTTGGGGAATATATATTGGTAAGAAGAACTAAGCAGTAATTGAATTGGCGTTTGCAATCTAGACTGCTGGGGAGGGATTGTTCTGTTGATTCCCCCTCTATGAATACGTGCTTGTTATGCAATAAAAGTTGTACTAAGTTTCGGCTAATGTATTGGGAAAGGGCTATTATAACTATTACTGTATTCTGTGGATAGAAAGAGAGAAAATGGAGATACTCTGGCTGAGTACTGAGCTGCGCTGCAGATGTTTCTTGCTTTTGCCAAGTGTTTGTTCCACAAAGATTTTGACACTTTCTTATTAAGTGCACCAATACATAATAGATATTGACTGTTGGGGCAAACTATTTACAGCATATAATTATTTTCATACAGGTTTCATTTGCTGCAAGAGGTAGAATAACAGATTAACGAAAGGCCACATGTCTCACTGTGCATGATGTGTATACAGATTGCAGAGATGGCTGTACCCCATGATCACTTGTTAGGACAGATTTCCAGTTGCTCTTTTTGTGAAGCCTCTATCGAGGCATTTAATAGAGCACATTGAATGGCTGCCGTACATCTACTTTCTCAAAACACATAAGTGGCAGAGTCAAACCCTGTACGGCAGCCATCAATGGAGTCAATGTTTTTGTAAAATAACAGGATTCTCTCTGAACACACCCCAACAAAATGTGCACACCTATACTACACTTTGGCATATATTATGAGAGAAACCAGTTAGTCATGTTATTTGATGCCGGTTATTTGTTAGAGTGAGCAACAACAAAAAATCCTTAAATCGAAAATACTGAAGAAGTGATAAAATAAGATTTTGTTCTAAAAATTAAAAGAATGAGTCTAAAGTCAAAAAGAGTGCACTGGTATAGGGGGTAACCCCAAATAGAAACTGAAAATGAATAAACAAGAAATAGTGTACTTGAGGGGAGGAGGGGAAAAACTGGGAAAAGAAACTCTAAGAGTGTCATACAAAATACACTATATAATACAGTGTGAGGTTTCCCGGAGCTAATCAGTAGAATAGATGAATAATAAATATATGCTTAATCTTAATGAGAGGTTAATAAAACACGTTGGCATCCTAACAGCAGTATAAGTTCAAAGCAATGTAGGATAAATATGTATGGTATAGGTGCCACTAACCCTGCTTATGAGAATAATACAGGGTTTCTTGTTTATTCATTTTCAAAACAAATTAGTATTTCCTAAAGATAGAATCTTTATGAAACAGTCACTTTGATTGTTGGAATTTCACTGAAACGCCAAGTCAGTCAAGAGATATACTAAGACAAAGCAGAGACTGCTTTGTCTCTGTATATTTCATACCCCTGACACTTCTAGAAACTGGGCGAGCCAACGCCGTCTTGAAGTATCAAATCCCTCCAAGCTGTCACTCGCCTCGTGGGATCCTCCATAGACCTCAATGCTGTATTCTCACACATGCTGAAAAGACCCCGCTGAAGAAAGATGGTCGTGTCCAGAGCATACAAATGTAAAATAATTTGAACTCCTTTATAATCAAAACGGATAATCAGATCTAAACAAGGAGAAAATATTTTACTGAAATGCAGGAAGCTCCCTGACACAATCAGCATACAGAAAATACAGTAGTTCCACTGCACGCTATATCATGCCATAACATGCTAAGAAGTTTGGCTCATAACACAGTAAAACAAAGAAACCATTACTCATGGATGTTTTCTAGTAACAATCTAGTGACAGATTACAGTCATTCTAACCAGATTTAACTTAATTTGCAATGTTTGCCCTGACATCACCTTGTTCTAACTGGATTGTTATTTGCCATATCTTTAATAGAAATTTAAAATAAAATGGAATATTTAATGAAAAAGTGTTTAACAAGTTCTTGATGATTTTCAGTGATTTAATAGTGTAAATTCCAGAGAGGTAATAAATTGCCTTTAATGTCATGGTCTTGATGTCACTTTTTTCAGACAATGTAAAACTAGCAAAAATTTTTATTTAAAGGGACACTATCGGCACCCAGACCACTATAGCCAACGCAAGTGGTCTGGGTGCAGTAACCCTGCAATGTTAATTACATCTTAGGACTAAGACTGCGTTCAGTAAATGTCAGGCAACCACTAGAGGCACGTCCTGCTAGGCAACTTTTTTTGGGACATCCTCATGCACATTGTGCAGCACTGACCCAGGAAGCACTTTTAGTGGCAATCTGAAGACTGACCACTAGAGGTATTCAGAGGCTGTAATGTAAACAGTGGCTGAAAAGAGTGTTTATTGCAAAAAAAACAGCTCATTGACCTATAGCTTCAGTCAATTTTTGAAGGGACATTGTAAGTACCATAAACAAGTTTAGCTTAATGAAGCGATTTTGGTGTATAGATCATGCCCCTGCAGTCTCACTGCTCAATTCTCTGCAATTTAGGACTTAAGCTTGCCACACCTCAATGTAATAAAGTCACTTTCATATTCTACTTTATGAGGTTTACATGCTTGCCAATTCTAAAAAATGTATACATAAAAAACTCTACCCCTGCTCAAATTGCAGAAAGAACATCCCGCATCTCAGAATAACAAGTCTACTCTAAAGTTAACAGCAGCCACTTCAGCCATTCTTTTAACGTGTAGAGGATTGGCTCAGTCACCATTCATTACAGCTTGGCACCCAACAGTCCCTTTCCTGGGGAATGGTGCCATGGCACTCCTGGATCACACCACTACAGCAGGAATTGGAAATATTTTTAGCTTAAAATGTAGTTGACTATAATTTCCAGTTAATTACATTAGCCCTTTACAATTCATAAAAATACAATTTTGTATGCAGTTTTTTTTAAAACTATAATTTAGTGTATATTTAACACATTTTATAATGAAGGCCTACAATGTTCTTTTAAACCCCAAAACATGTAATGTAGAAAAAAATAAATAAATCCATAAATGGTGCATCACGGTGTGTGTGATTTAATGTCAGGAAACCAAAAACATTACCATCAGATGATATAGTCATCTACCACATATGAGGGGCATTGTTGTGAGGAAATAGGTTGAGATATGAAGCCATTTTTGTTCTTACGAGATAAGAACTACTACAAAACTAAGTTACATTCATGCTCCATATGTATCGTAAAGTATAAAACACAGACGCGGTCTGGAAATTCCGACTATTGAAAATCTCAATGTATGCAAAGCATGTCAAACTCAATAACATGGGCCCAATAAACAAGGTTTAAGTTTATGTGGACCGTAAAAAAACAAAATCTTAAATTTTCACAGAAACTTGGGTTTATTTGGAAAAGTACAGTATAAAAAAAGTTGCCTGACACTGCATGTTCTCTCGCTCATAGGGCTTCAAATTAAACAAAAGAGCGTATTATAAGGACACGTGCATTTCCATTTAACCAATGTTTCATATTAAGAAAAGTTTGGTAATGGGACTGAAATGGTAAATGTATGCTGTTGCACAGCTGTAAAAATCAAATGATGTTTTCTTGTTGATTTTGAAGGCCTTTGAGTGTGTTCTTCACTTTGGCTGAGATAATCGAACTTGATGATCTCAGCCAATTCAATGCTTTCCCATAGGAATGAATTGGGAGGCTCTTGTGCATGTATAGCAAAAGGCTGCACAGCCAATCAACACGAATACAATCTAATACACTGCCCCTTTCCCCCATTCTAATACACTGCACACATATCCAATACACTGCCCCTCCTTCATCCACTCAAATACACTGCCCCCTTCCCCCATTCTAATACACTGCACACAAATCCAATACACTGCCACCCCCTTCATCCACTCATCTAATACACTGCCCCCCCCTTCATCCACTCATCTAACACACTGCCCCCCCTTCATCCACTCATCTAATACACTGCCACCCCCTTCATCCACTCATCTAATACACTGCCACCCCCTTCATCCACTCATCTAATACACTGCCACCCCCTTCATCCACTCATCTAATACACTGCCACCCCCTTCATCCACTCATCTAATACACTGCCACCCCCTTCCATCCACTCATCTAACACACTGCCCTCCATCCACTCATCTAACACACTGCCCTCCATCCACTCATCTAATACACTGCCCCTTCATCCACTCCTACCCAATACACTGCCTCCATGCCATCCACATCCATCCACTCATCTAACACACTGCCCCCCCCTCCATCCACTCATCTAACACACTGCCCCCCCTCCCATCCACTCATCTAACACACTGTCCCAGCTTTGCTCTTCTCTGCTCAAACAGGCCAAACGCTCCTCTGGCACTGCGAGTAGGAGGGAAGGTGGAGTGGCTGGCAAGCTTTGCAGACAGACACTCTGCACTCTTGTGGCAGTGGGAGGGAAGACAGGAAAGAGCTTTCCTGTCTTGCGGTTGGTCGCAGCCACAGCACAAAGCGGCCCCAGGGCAGACGGGCTGCAAAAATATTAATTGTGGACCGCAGGTTTGACATGCTTGATGTATGCAATTGACATCAATTCCCAAGACTTTAAAATAGTAACATTCAATATAATTGTGTTGCCTAATGACATGTTCGTTCAGGAAAACAAAGTATTGTGTTTTTTTTTCTCAATTCTTTATTTATGAATGATAAATGAATGAGATGAATAATGCAAACAATACATGCATCAATTTAAACATGACAGGACCAGTTACTCATACACTGCTCAAAAAAATTAAAGGGAACACTTAAACAACACAATGTAACTCCAAGTCAATCACACTTCTGTGAAATCAAACTGTCCACTTAGTAAGCAACACTGAGTGACAATCAATTTCACATGCTGTTGTGCAAATGGGATAGACAACAGGTGGAAATTGTAGGCAATTAGCAAGACACTCCCAATAAAGGAGTGGTTCTGCAGGTGGTGACCACTTCTCAGTTCCTATGCTTCCTGGCTGATGTTTTGGTCACTTTTGAATGCTGGCAGTGCTTTCACTCTAGTGGTAGCATGAGACTGAGTCAGAGGTTCCACCTGCAACAACCCCAGGGGATTCCAGGCAGAGACCCGCAGCGCCGGTTAGGACCCCCAGAGGGACCTGGAGAGCAGGGAGAAGGAGGAACCCGATGCAAGCTCCAGACCCCAAAACTCGACTGCTGGTGAGTCACCCACAGCCTCAACAGGGGCTCACCCCAGGGTTACCCCCAAACTACTACTCTCTCATGCACACTGTACCACCTGGGAGACGGCACCGTACCAATGGGCCCCACAGTCAAAGGCAAGTCATACCCCAGATGCACACGGGACTCCCTAATACCTACCATCCAAATGCACCAAGAGCCCCAGCAACAGGAACTGGCAGGTTCAACTCCCAACGATCGGGGACAGGGCAGCAGAGTTGCCGGCCTGCCATTAACAGGCATCGGCTAAGCACCCCAGTGTGGACTCTCAACAGCAAGGCTCACTTGAATTCGCTTTTATCTTTCTTCTCTTATTTATGCAGTTGCCTTCTTTATAGCACAATTACATATATAATGCATGAATCACCTCATTGCCTGACATGTCTAGCAAGCTCCTTGTTTCACACAGGACAGCCATGTTCTAGGGATTCCTATCTCATGTTTTTTTTTGTTTCGTTAGTAACAAGCCTGTTGTCTATATATCCAGTATTTATTTTCTTTTAGAATCTGATTCCATAGGCTCTCAGTCATCACTGAATATAGCAAGCTCATAGGTCTCGTAACAATAATGGCAGGATTTGTACCCAGCCCGAATGCTAAGAATAATTACCCATCCGCAGACATACCCTGCATAAGCATGTTTCAACAATTTAGTATTACGCAGTAGCAGCCAGTTATATCTTGCAAGCCAGACATGTTCAGTTTACTAACCAATAAGAAGAGCAGACCTAGCATGTTCTTGATATATATTAGCAATGTTATGCCTAGTGTTTCTTATTTCATTTTCAACTCACACAAGGGAGATCTGCCTTAGTTAACTAAGCTGGCACCACTAGCACCACACGATGGGTCAGACCACTAACCTGATGCAACACCTCGTCTTCCTTTCCTTACAAGTAACGTGCTAGTTCAACCAATGTTGAGACCACTTTAAAACTTTTATTTTATATCAAGCTAGACCTAATCTACATACCTTTTTTTTGTACCTCACTCTTACCTTATGTGTACCACACCTTAATACGAATACTCATAAGTTACGTTAAGCTTGTTTATGTACCCCAAAAAATGTGCATGCACTCATGCCACTGTTTAAACTGTATACCACGTGTACGCTGTGTCGTTTGATCTTGCAATGTACCTACCTATACGACAAAAATAAAAAATTCCAAAAAATAAATTGCCATTAATTTCTGTCAGAACATAATGACAGGCCATGCACAGATTCTAAACTCCGATACAACTATAATCACATTAAATTAAAAAAAAGTTTTTAAAAAGGGACAAAGGGCCTTCTCAACAGAAAGCCACCAGCAGTGTCCCTTGATATTTAGTGCAGCGGTGTTGACTTTTTTTTTTTTTCCCCTCTTTACAAATTTACTTTTCTAAGGGACTAAAGCAGTAGCCCAATCTACAAGCCTGTCATGACAACTGCCTAAAACCCTGCACACTAAGAGTTATGCACAAAGAATTTTCTCAATTTAAATCCAAAAACAAAACAAACATCTGATCTGGAAAAGTTTTGCAACTCCACTGTAGTCAAACTCATTAGTGAGACCCGGACTACAAGGGAATGCTAACTGTAGTCTGTACCTGCCGGGTGTGAAGACCACATGCTCTCTGTCCCTACGTGTAGAATCCCTGCCGCTAGCGCACAGCAGGACTAAAGGCGCAAGAAGAAAAAACAGCTTGCCTAGAACCTGAAACTACATGTCTCAGGCAATAGGTATTCATATTTCTAAGTTTTAGTGGTCAGCAACTGGCAAACACTGAACATATGTACTCCAAAGGGCTGAAACTGTATGTACTTTTTTTTTATTTTTGTGTTTTCTCTATTTCCTTGGACTACCATGTTTAAACATACACATTCTGGAGTCTAAGCCTCTCTCTGCACGAATCCCATTACGAAACAGGCCATGTAAACTGAGAATGGACGGGACTGTATATACTTTGACTTTTTCTCCTTTTCCCTGTACCATCAAGTCTACAACTTCATACTCCTGGGCCTCCACCTTTCTCAGCGTGCATAGCCGTGTAGAGTATAAACCAATTAATGTGTACATACAATTCTGCATCTGTTTTGTATTGTATTGTTAGGCCTCCTTGAGCGAACAAGTTAATACTCACAAATTTTGTGTTTCCTTCTCTCTCAGCCCTAATTGTAGTGCAGTTCCTATGCGGAACTAACCAGCCATGAATATCCTTTTTTTCTTTTTCTCTCATGGACAAACATGCTCATATTTACACACACATCGGCATCTATCTTGCAGCAGGAAAAATGCAGATACTACACTCGATATTTCCTTGGTATGAACGAACACGCACACACACACTACTCTGTTAAGAAGGCGGGGGGGGGGGGGCAGACGAACACGGCTCCCGGCCCAAACAAACTAAACTGGCTCTGAAACGGCCACAGAAGGCACAAAGACCAGGTTACCCGCTGAAATAAAGTGAAGGATAACACCAGCTTTAAAAAGATACCAATTAGACCCTAAAAGAAGGCTGTGAGCACCGTAAAGGACTTTCAAGGCCTACCCGGGGGCCGCAAAACCAGACTCTGGTGACCATGAGTCGGTCAGAATACATGCCGATCCTCCGCGCCTGGACACAGACGACTTAAAGAAAAACAAAAGCAACTTACCAAGGCAAAGGACGCTGCTGGCTCGGGCCGGTGGGGTTATCTGGCCTCATGGAGGCAACATGCGCCGAGACGGGAGTTCCCCTGTGCTGGGCCCAGACTGCCCTCCTGAACTGGCAAAGGCTGCCGAAAAGAAGCCCGCCAGTAAGAGAGTCGTGGGGACCATTTTACATACAAGCTCATTACGACGAAAGAAAGACATGAAGGGGACTATTAACTGCCCACCGAAGGAGTGACGGCCCGGACTTACCGAGTCTGTGGGGGGTCCTCAGGGAGTTGAGTCCCTGGTGCTACGAGTCCTGTGGATCAAGAAGATGCAGGCCTTCCGGCGGACCGGTGGACTTGAGGGATGCGCATCATCCCCAAGTGTGTGGCAGGCGCCAGGAGAGATGGGGGCTTACACTCCACAGAAGCTTGAGAGGTGCAGGGGACGGGGGCGCTCAGACCCTATGTGTGGGGGTCCTGTGGATGGTCTCTGGCCCTGAGTGCCCACGGAGGCACAGAAAGCCCTGCAGGTGGACAGTGTCCTGTCTGGGGAGGACAGATGGAAACCCAGAGTCATGTTGTTGCTGTGCCATGAACAGCCCAGATCGGACCATTATGCTGGTACCCTACATACCCATATTTTCGTATTTCTAAATTTTCATATATTTCATTTGTCATAAGTTGTTTTTTTTTTTATAATTCGACATGTTACAACGGACAGATTTGGACCGTGTAATAATTACCTTAACATATGGGGATAATACTGCAAGTTCTGCTTACCAGCCTTTAACTAAATTAACTTGGCACATAGCTATTAGCCAACCTGTATGCATATAGTAGATTAGATTGCTTTTTACTTAAAATAAGTATGTTGATAAATGCATCTCTAGTTTGCCATATAATTCTATGTTATACTAAAATAGGTATACCAAAATGTCTTATTTTAGGCCTAATTCACCAAAGTCAAAAGGGCTTCATAGCCAGATTGCTGCACTATATAAAGGATACCCGCATGTCAGCGCCTTAGCCGATACAAATATATGCTATCCAACCCCATAATTCTCTCAACACGTACTAAGCAGTTAGGCCGGAGGGCAAATGTAATCCAAGTTTAACATATGGCCGCAAACTTTATTTGATTTTCTGGATTAAGCTTCAAGCATGTAGAAAATCCGTATTACTAGTATAAGCAACATAAGTTCACATACTCTGTTATTACAAGCACTATTGCTATGTGTTAGTAAATTGCCATTAGTCAAACCAGAACAAGTTATTTCTGTGTAGTGCACTATGCCAACATTGGTTAAACGCAAATGGATCTAATAATGCCTATAAAGGTAGCCTTTTATGCCTCTGCGCAGGCGACCAAAGTCAACATATGTCTATTCTCTGATTTATAATGCCTCTGCGAAGGCAACAGTGCATTAAATCTTCGCATATGATCTATATCTACTACCACCATTTTACATGCAAAATAAAAACAATTTAACCCCTTAAGGACCAAACTTCTGGAATAAAAGTCATGTGTCCTTAAGGGGTTAAAACAAAAAAAGAAGGCAGAGGATTTAGCATGCAAGAGATGACACCAGAGGCAGAGCAGGAGGCTGCACAAACTGAGACTTCATACTGGAAACAAGGTAAGAGTTATATAATCTAAATTTTAAAAACTTAGAGGGTGGGACATCAAAGACATGCCAATAAGTCAATACAGAAAAATATACCGTATTTATTCTAATCTAATGCGCACCTTTTTTGTAAAATAAAGTTTCCAAAATTGAAATGCGCATTATAGTTGTGGCACAATTAGACATTTTCCAGCAAATTGCATTCCATTGAAGTAAAACAGGCAAATTAACATAGGTGAATTTCGTTCCTGAAGAAGGGCTTAAAAAAGAATAAGCTAAACATGTAACACTAAAATTGAAATGCCATCAATGTTACTATGGTATATGGCAATAAACATTTTCATTGTAGCACAATGTTGTATAGTAGTATCTTCTTGTATAAATGCGCATTACATTCGCCAGCAAAAACATTTTTCATCTTCCAGGTTTCCAAATTGTGATGCGTATTAGATGGCTCATTAGATTTGAGTAAATACGGTATTTTAGTTTAACTCTACATTAATAAATCAATAAGCTGGAACAGTTATCTTCCAAAAACCAAACATTAGTGGGAGAACCCATCTTGTCCTATTACTGTTCCAAAAATTTGTTTAAAAAAAAAAAAAAAATTAAACACACTCAAGAGGTAACCTAATAGTTTTTGGAGAAAAATCATAGCAAGACAAAGGAAATACTGCTGGAAGGCTTTTGCAGTAACAAATGTAATGAATAATAAAAAATATATATATTTCACAACTCTAATATTAAACAAGACTTTACTGCAGCTACTACTACTGGCCTCACAACTTTCTCTTTAGGCATTTTTCACATGATACATACCAGTATTTATCCTAAAGCAATATACAGGTATACACATCATAACATGGTATCAAAAACAGATGTATTTGCATACTGTTTATTTTTCTCTTTAGAAAACTTATAAGTGGCAATAAAAGCCCACATAATAATGTGGGCTCCTAAAAATTTCAATTATTTATTATTTACTAAACAAGAACACAGATCTTACTATTTCCTTGGTTCTCAAATGCTTCCTCCAAACTGCAGCTTCTAAAGTACGATATACAGTTAAACCCTTGAAGTACTGCTATTCCTTAAAATTTTAAAAACATAGGAAACAAAAAGGTACTTGCGCACTATCCCAAATCCCTACGCACATTTAAATACAGAATGAGAAATACAAAAACAAGCAGCGCTAAAATAAACCAATACTCGCAGTGTGAAAGGCAGCAAAACCTCAAAAGTTGGTTCCCTCTAAGGCCTATTAACAAACATAGTACAAAAGACAAAGCAAAGAGAGGTTGCGCCAAAACAGACAATGATTGATATGTGTGGAAAAGTCCGAAATATGATGGAATATCCTTAAAAAAAACTAAAAAAAAAAAAAACTAAAAGATAAAATACCGAAACAGAGTCCTAGATTATGCCAGATGGGACACCCAATGGTCTATGTAGGAAGATATTCTATAGGTGGACTGGATGGAAACAAATTCTTCGGCTCCGTATGTGGAGACAATGATGGTGCAATAAGTCTAGTACAGAAGGTAAATGTATGGACAACAGAGTCTATAGTATCCTACTCACGTGTGGTAGAGTTTGGACTAGCTCTAGTATGAATGGCATACAGTGGTACAAACCCCGCTTAATTCACGGTTTATTATTTATTTATGCTTTATTAATATTGCTTATATATCACCCTAATAAGTTAATATCCCCAATACCCTTGTCAAATAATAGTTTATATTCCCTTTAAAGTATCCCCTTCTCCCATTTTTTTCTAATTTAAAAACCCTTACATCATTGTTCTGCCCTAATGGCAAGATACCCAGCACCCCACTCATAACATTTCTGCCACTTTCTATGTATATTACCAGCCCCTTCACTCTTACTAAAATCTTTGCTGCATCCTAATCCTCTGCTCGCGGTCATTGACCACGCCCCTTCACTCCGTCTCTCTTAATAGAGACGCCTTCCATTTCCCCCTTAGTTCGGCCCATCTGGCCGTGAACTGCATGCCCCTCCCCCTCTGCACTACATTTCTCAATATACCTAGCAATAAGTCACGTGGTGCTGCTTTAACACATTTCTAAAGCTTAGTTACAGCCATTATTTATGGATAACCACCTTAAATTGTAATCTATGCATATGTGTTTTTTATTGTATTTTGAAAATGCAATTTAACTATGACGTCTTTTGGGTGCCAATTCTTCATCTGCTTAGTAATCAGTCCCCTATATAAACCCTACCTAACCAAGCATGTTTTTTTTCTGTCTCCACTTGAGAAAGCCCTCACAGGTGAAACGCTTTGTGGATATTTTAAAATTTATTTTGTGTTCCAATAAAGGTATTTTGGCTACTTTTAATATACTGTGTGCCATATTACTTTTTTAATATTAAATTTTTTTAGACACTTTTAGTATTTTATTTTTATTATTGCTGCTTGGTATCCTGATAGCTTTCCTGTCGAGTATTACTCCAAAAGAAATCCTAGGTGGGGATACCACTTACGCTAGAGTCATTGAGCATCATATGCAAGTACACATTTTATTATTTATACGCCTACGATATATATTTTTACAGTAAGCACTATTAGTTGTTTCTCTTCCTTTATGGTCTACACATTGATACAAGATCTACACCTCTTCACGTATCCTATAAGCGAGGATTGTACCGCTGTATGCCATCCATACTAGAGCTAGTTCAAGCTCTACTACACGTGAGTAGGACTACAATAGACCCTGTTATCCTAGTATTTATCCATCTGTACTAGACGTACATTTGCAAAAGTAGACAACCCAAGGTATTGCAAGTGGGGTATGTCCAGTTTTTTTTAGTAGCCACAATATTTGTTTTTTTTGTTTTTCACACAAAACCAAATATGAACGCTAACTTTGGCCAGTGTTTGTGACTGGCTACTAAAAAGACTGGACATACCCTATTTGCAATACCTTGGGTTGTGTACTTTTGCAAATGGTATGCCATCATGGGGGTAATTCTCATTCCTGGGCTACCACATGGTCTCAAAGGTAACATTACTAATGTGGGGGCACTGTTGTACTTGTGAGACTTTGCTGAATACAAATATGTGCATTTTATTGCAGTAAAAGCCAACAGTATTAGGACATTTACAGCTAAAATGTCAGGCGGAACTACAAATGTTTTTTAAATCTTAATTTCTCAAAGTTTTTTTTTTTAATTTTATTCATTATAAATTGTGTTCCATATATGAAGAAAAAGGAAAATGCCCACAATATACACAACTCAAAAATACTACACAAACACCAGTTGGACACCCCACTTTTACCCTGCAAAAATATACCCTAGCACACATACTCTGCAAACCCTCTTCCCACCCCCTCATTTTCACAGTCTCAATGCAACAACACATTCTCATACATGCTGCGCAAATACACCGTCACATTAATACAAACTGCCACCTGACTCAGCAAAAGCACAATCAGGTGTTCTGCAGCAAAAACTGATTGTCTGGCGTGTAATTTGTACAATTTACCAAGTGATCCTCAAAGAAGAATACAGCATGGCCATAAGGTTAGTTGAGTTTTAGACCTTTAGTTTAGATCCTCAGCAGGGAAGTATGGCTGTACCCTCTAAGCACAGTGAGCAAGTGCTACACTTACAGATTACATCAGACTTTGAGCAATAATAAAGACATTAAAAAGACAAAAAGAAAGCAACAAATATTGAGCCATTAACGCATAAAAACATAACTACTGGGAGCACTCACCTTCCTAACCCTCATGGCACCCTCCAAACAGCTCAAACTAGCGGAATCGATCCGACCCAACAAGAAAGATCGCCCGCGGCAAAAACAAGATGGCGACAACACAGCCATACAGTTCCCAGACCCAGGCACTCAAACGGATGAGAACACAGGGCAAACCCCTCATGGAGAAGCACTGGTCACCAACCACAGTCTCCACACCATGCTACAAGCTCTCAAAGAGCGGACTTTAAACAAATCACCAAAGAAATCAGGAGAGACATCCAGGAACTAGGTGAACGCACAAGTCGCTTAGAAAACAAAGCAGAAGAAATCTGCTCGGCACACAGCGATATGGTGGATCAACTACAGAAATTAGAAAGCGACCAGGCTGCCCTAAAAATGAAAGTGGCTGATATGGAAGACAGATCTCGCAGAAATAATCTCTGATTTCGGGGAATACCAGATACAATATCAGCAGACGCTCTTCCACAACACTTACAGGCCCTATGCACTACCCTGGTACCGCATCTCGAAGCTGCCTCTTGGACATTCGACAGGGTACACAGACTACCCAGACCGGCAAGATTCACAGCGGACACACCGAGAGATGTGATAGTTCGCTTCCATTATTATAAAACTAAAGAAACAATACTAAACGCGACGAAAAAACTGGAGCAACTTCCAGACCCATACCAAAACATCAGCATATATGCCGACCTGTCAGCAGCAACCATGGCAAGAAGAAGAGAATTCATCAACATAACCAAAACCCTATGCAACCATCAAATACCGTACAGATTGGGATACCTGACCAAGCTACTGATATGGCACAGAGGTAAAACTGAGATAATCCAGAAGCTGGAATGGCGAAGATCAAAGAATGGGGCCTCCACCACAACCTGGGACAGAACTATCCCCAAAAGTCACAACCAAAAAAAATTTGAACTAACTAAATGAGGACTAACATTCCGGACATTACTATGCTGTTCCAGAGTTGCTTAGTTCACTTAAGTATCAAAAATGTTATGTGCGCAATACTATACCATACAATGTTAGCCATGTATATAATACCAATGCAATGCACAATAGCGGTGTATTAAGCCCCGATTTGTAGTACCCACGCTAACGTTGCCGATAGAAATAACTGAACCCAAATGTCACGTGGGACATACCACTACCCTATGTACTAATTGACACGCTAATCCCGCTCATATGGTATGTAATATGTAGGGACGCATCAGCATAGATACGATCCTAGCCACTGAGACCCCCTTACAAAACTATCTATGGTGAAGTGTAACACTACGATTATAGACACTCTTTAAGTGACTCTGGAGACACCACCACTGCCCGAAGTTAGACAGAAGGCAGCTGCCACAAGAGGCAAATATGCCCCTGCACGTTATGCAGGTTAACCCAAGTTCTTTCCATTTAAGTTTAACCATGTTTTTAATAACTGTAATGATATGCTTTATGTTGTTCTTTGAAGGTATACCTAATACTATGTCCCAAACACACGACACTAACTTGACACGTGAACAATCTGAACTGCCGTCCAAATCACATCCGAGGAGAAACAACAACCAAACAGGCACAGTATAATAAAACACGACAAACACACACTAAACCAAGACCCCTTTGCCAGGTTGAAACACGACCGCACGAACCTGACAAACGAGCTCTATTGGCACAGGTTACATAAGCAAACCCTTACTTACATAATAGTATGGCGATAGCCACATTTAAAATACACTCCCTAAACAGCCCACGTAAAAGACGCCTGGCAGTCCAAGCTATGCATAACTCAAAGTCCGCTGTGGTTTGTCTCCAGGAGACTAATTTCTGCATCCACAATCCACACCAGCTTCGCTCCAACCAGTACCCCCAAATATTCCACGCATACTCACCTAATAAATCCAGAGGGGTTGCCATTCTCTTCCACAAAGACTGGGTATTTCAAGAAAACAAGAGACACAGACAAAATGGGCAGACTGTTGATCCTAGTGGGTAACTTGAATGGCATGCTAGATACCATTGTCTCATTATACGCCCCAAACGAGGCTCAAACTGCATTTATCCGCAAATCTATTAAACTAATAAACAAAATCCGAACCGGCCACACAATCATATGCGGGGACTTTAATTGTACCCTAGACCCGACATTAGACTTAAAAAGGGAACAAAACAAACCCCTGACCCCACACGCGATCTCCAATTGCAAGAAATTAGGCAAAAGACTCTCCACCAACAACCTCTACAATGCTTGGAGATCTACATACCCGCAAGAGAAAGACCACATATTTCTTGCAGGTACATAGACCCTATTCCAGAATTGACATGTGCTTAGTAGACAAGGCCACATTAGTAAACATAGATGAAGTACAAATTCCGATACCTCCTGGCTGTCACCATCCAAAGGCGGCCTCGGCACCCAAATATTAGGGCATATTATAGAGCAGCGGCCCTAGCACAAGGGCTAGATGCATTATCCCGCACTACTCCCGTAATCTGGGCCCCCCTAGAAAATGCCTGCATAAGACTACACACAAACTCTATGCTGCGATCTTTTAACCCATGGCCAGTACGAGATTCTTAATTAACAGCTGGAGGAAATGGGCAAGTCCACTCACCAGCACAAACAACATTATTTACTTCGCACCGATACAAATAATCTCAGATCTATCAAACGATATAAATATGGAAACGTGGCGACAACAGGGAATAACCTCGGTGGCACAAGTATACTCAGAGACAGGCCTCAAAACATTCCCAATACTTCAACAGGAATATGCACTCCCCTCTAGGGACATTTTCACATACATCAGAACCGAACATTCTCCAATCCCTACAAACCCGCCATTGCAATGAAACACAACTAACAAACTTTAGGCTATACTGTATAGGCAAACGTCCACAACTAAAACCACTATCCCTATGCTACACGGCACTAAATGACGCTGACCCACTATGCAAACACAAATACATAGAACAATGGGAGGCAGAACTAAACAAATATCCCCAATCCAGTATGGCTACAAACAATTCAGACTAGAAGGAAAGTGTCACATAGCCTGACCCACTGGGAGGCGTACTGTAAAATACTGATGAGGTGGTACCTAGTACCTACCAAGGTAGCGAGCATGTACCCCTCGGCCTCAAATGTATGTTGGAGATGCACCCTTCACAAAGGAAGCATGAGACACATATTTTGGGATTGCCCACTACTGAGTAAGCTGTGGCGAACGATAGGAAAAGCTATGGAAATTTTAACGATACGCAAAATACCGTTCACACCGGAATGCTACTTACTCCACCTCTCCCCAGAACTGCTGCTAGACAACAACAGACATGTTATCATACACCTACTAACAGCAACAAAGACTAGTATAGCCAGCCACTGGAAAACCACACACAACTCCTCACCACAAGAAGTATGGAATAGAAATCAATGTCTCAGAATATGAAGGTATGGCTGATGGCGTAAGCCAATCAGTAGCTCCCACTCAACAAATGGCTTGAGAAAATGTATTTTTCGCAAGCTGTTTTTGTTATGAAGGGGAAGGTACTGACTTGGAGTGACAGCTAAGAAAAAAAAAAAAAAATGCCATAAATAAGAGTGCTTCAATTTCAAAATGAAAGGTTTATTCCACAAGGTATATAAACAGGAGAAAACAAAAGCCAAAGAAAAATCTTCCTTACATGTTTTAGACCACCCGGTCCTTAGACATCTAAGTAATTGGAGTGCCAGTTAACACCCTCAACCAAGCACCTCTTTCTAAGGCTTCAAGAATTAAAGTTTAAAATAAATAAATCGGAGAAGCAGGACAGGGACAGAGCTAAACAGAGTTGGATTTAACCCCTTGACGACCGATGACGGTTCAGGACCATCATCGAAAAATCCCCTTGGGGACCGATGACGGACATGAACCGTCATAACCGTCTGGGGCTACTTACCCGATTGCCATCGGTGTCCCGGCGGCGATCAGCGCTCCTCCCAGTCCAGAGGGACTGCCTCTCTGCCCGCCCGGGCAGTCTCCCCTCGGTAGATCAGGACCCCGCGGCCACGTGATCACATGACTGCAATAGGTGCCTGTATCTGCCTGCGCTATATATATATACACACATACACACACATATACATATACACGTATAATAATATAAAAATACACTTTTAATTTAATAATTTAAACATATACACAATATATAATAACTATATATTGAATATATAATAAATTATAAATATGTTAACATAAATAAAAAGTAAAAAAAATTAATAATTAAATTATATATGTAATTTTATTCTAACAGTATTTTGATATTAATATATATTTATATCAATATACACTTAGAATGTAATGATTATTTATATATATATATATATATATATAAAAAAATACGAAATATACATATGTCCATATACATATTTACATAAATAATTTCATAAATATACACGTAGACGTCAAATATATAAATATGTATATATATTAAAATTCTATGTGCGTATTTATGTAATAATTTTACCTAATTAAGTAATTTTAATGATTGCAATTTGAGGGACCTGCCTGCCAACCCAGGCCGAAAGTCCAGAGAATTTAATTTGCTAGCACTGTGTTTAATCCTGTAACTTTCTATGACACCCTAAAACCTGTACATGGGGGGGAACTGTTTTACTCAGGAGACTTCGCGGAACACAAATATTAGCGTTTCAAAACAGTAAAACATATCACAGCGATTATATTTTCAGTGAAAGTGACTTTTTTTCATTTTTCACTGATATTATTGCTGTGATACATTTTACTGTTCTGATACACTAATATTTGTGTTCAGCAAAATCTCCTGAGTAGAACAGTACCCCACATGTAGAGGTTTTATAGTTTTTGTGAAAGTTACAGGGTCAAATATAAGGCTTGATTTTACTTTTTTTTTATTGACAATTTGTCAGATTGGTTAGGGTGCCTTTGAGAGCGTATGGTAGCCTAGGAATGAGAATTAGCCCCATGATGGCATACCATTTGCAAAAGAAGACAACCCAAGGTATTGCAAATGGGGTATGTTCAGCCTTTTTTAGTAGCCACTTAGTCACAAACACTGGCCAAAGTTAGCGTTTTTTGCATTTTTAACACACAAATATAAATGCTAACTTTGGCCAGTGTTTGTGACTAGGTGGCTACTAAAAAAGACTGGACATACCCCATTTTGAATACCCTGGGTTGTCTACTTTAAAAAAATATGTACATGTGAGGTGTGATTCGGGGATTTATGACAGATAACGGTGTTACAATGTCACTATTGATAAATTAAAATATATATATATATATGAAACAGCAATTTCCTACTTGTATTTATAGGCATATAACTTGCAAAAAAAAAAGAAAAAGGAAATAAAGCATGTAAACACTGGGTGTTTTTAAACTCGGGACAAAATTTTGAATATTTAGCAGTTTTTTTCATTAGCTTTTGTAAATAGGTAAAAGATTTTTCAAGTAAAAGTCCAAAAACATGTTTTTTTTTTCTTCAATTTTTCACCATATTTTATTAATTATTTTAAATAAAATATATGACGTGATACAAATAATGGTATGTAAAGAAAGCCCTTCTTGTCCTGAAAAAACCTATAACTTGTATGGGAACCATAAATGAGAGAGAGAAAAATTACAGCTAAACACAAACACCACAAAAGTGTCAAAACTGCTCTGGTCCTTAACGTACAACATTGCAAAAACAGGCCGGTCCTTAAGGGGTTAAGACTTTGGGGTGAAATGGTTTGTAAATATTTTTTACACCTAAAGATAAGCCAGCATCAGGGACTTCCTGGCATTATAAGAACTTTATTCCGATGTTCCCTTTTATTTAGTTTAAAAAAAAAAAAAAGTCTATTCCAAAGAATAAACCTTGGTATCAATACCAAGATGAAATTTTATAGCTCAAAACAGAGATAAATAAATACAATTAGGTGTGTGTCCGTATCTGAAATGAGGTTGAGACAGGTGTGTGAAGTTCAGAAAGTTTTATAAAAGAACACTCCACACAAATAAAGTACTTTAGCTAGATGAACAGCTTTGTGTGTCTGGAGTCTAATATTTGCAACAGATTATAAAGATATATTATTTGGCACCTTTATAATTTGGGGTAGAAACACATGATCTGAATGAGTCAGGAAAGTTTTCTTCTAGTTCTGTTAGGTCCACAGAACTAAGGTGGCAGATGTCCTGGCTAGCCTAAATTGCAAAACAAAAAATTAAAAAAGTGTGTTTCTTTAGAGTAGTGTGCGACTTTGGAGAATCAGAACTGAAAAAAATTGGTTCCCACCAAATATGCTACACAGCCAGCTGAAAACCAGTTTGAAAGCAGAAAAACTGCAAGACATTACAACAGCGTCAACAACAATAAGCCGGCCAACAAGAATTTAAAAAGTATTCATGTATGAAAGAAGTAAAAAAATTTGGACAAATATGAACTGGTTAAACAGGTGTGTGGATCCATCAACATAAGAGAAGACACAGCAAGGAGCAAGATGTACAAGACATGCGGTTTACTAAAAACACGCATTTGGTCAATATTTATTTCTGGGACCCAAAGAGAAATGGAGCACAGCAGCAGTGTCATCTGCTTAAATCAGCTTGTGATCGCTTTTAAACAACGTGTTTTATATAAATTGAGTTATCGTGTGTCCATACCCATTGTTTGTATTATGGACTAATTATCAAAGGAAAAACTATTAAAACAACAAGAAATTAGATCTCTGCTGACCGGCACAAAAACTGTAACAATTACAAAATTTAATAAAAAAATAAAATAAATAATTCTCCCTTTCAACAAACCTTTAGCAAAGCAGTTATGGCTTAACAGTGATTCCAGAGGCATGTTGTAGGCCAACCTAAAACGAAGCATTTAAGAGACATGGTTGCGGTTTACACTAATCCAGGACCCCACAAGTTCCAGGTACCAGTTTGCCGTAACAACTAGGAATTTTGTACTGGTGCCTGGGTTTTGTCAGTCTGTTGAACCCGACGTGGCCTGCTGACTGGGAGTGGAGGCAGGCGGGAGACTGAGGGAGAGCGAAGGCGTGCAGACGGCTGACTGGGTGCAGATGGCCAGCCTGTTCAGGGAGAGAATAGGGAGGTGGCAGGCCAGCCAGCACAGGGAGAGTAGAGGTGGCGAGGGAGCTGTAATCTCCAGTGACCTCACTCAAACATCCCTATCGAGAAGAGAAGAAAGAGGACAGCATCCCCACTGGACCCAAGCGAATGCTGTTCCACTCCAGCTCTTCCAAGTGTAGGGGACACATTAAAATAAAAAAATAACATCCTCGACTACACCATCGACTCCTTGCTCCACTTACCTACTTCTTACAAATCATACCTCGAATGGGAGTAGGCAGAGGTGGCCTTTGCAGCAGCAGCAGTCTCCAACGGAGTGTCCTATGTATATCCCAATTTTTTTTAGCTTGTTTTGGACCTTTGTTGGGGTCTTTTCTCGAAGTATAATCTATTTGTCCTACTATCAATATTTTAGTTCTTGGCATATGATTATGTACTTCGGCAGTATTGCTACACTTTAAATCTAGTCTTCTGTTGAAGTGCTCAGCTAATCCATACATTATCTGCAGAGATGTATTTTTCTATGTTGCCTTTTTTGTCTAAAGCAGTTCTTTATTATGTACTATGCAGCACTGATTTTCCTCTGTTCTTGTCTTTTTACAAAATAATTTGCAGAATATCATTCATGCTCGTTTTGTAATAGTAGTTATTTTTCTTGTTCATAAACAAAGTCATGATGAATGAAACTTGGTTAACTGCTTGCACAACAAAAATAAAGAATTTAAAAAAAAATCATTTGGGAGTGTGTGAAAATGTATGTTGCAGTATCAGTGTTTGTCACATCAATGTGTGTTGGTCAGTGAGTGCGGGTAAGTGACGAGCCCCCTTCCAATCACATGGGAAAGATTTTTTACTCACCATTTTCCCATGCCGTGCCGGTCTCGCCACAGCTGGCCCTGCGCCTCCATGGCTGAGCTCAATCTCTATGATCTCCACCAATTCAATGCTTGCACATATACTAAGATGTAGTGGTTCTGTTGTCCCTTTTAGAAATGTATTTTTGACAAACTTTTTTAGCTGGCTCCTAGATTCCAAGCAAATTTGTCAAGCCCTACTCTAGCTAAGTCAAACTATTATCAGAGTTCAAAATTAGCGAGCATGCACTCCTGTATGGTCATGGAAATACACCAATTCCTCACTAAAATGAGTTTGTAGAATTATAAAAATGGGCTAATCTTATTGTTTAAATGATTTTGAACTGGAAGTGGTTATGGAAAAGGGAATCCACTTATTTTATAAATAATGCAGGGCTAGTCTTCTACTTTACTGTACATAATAATATGCCAAGCTCTTGCTGAAGATGCTTTACAACGGTTTTGCACTTGATACATTCCAGAAACAGTTTCAGACAGTTGGTAGTCTCATTCTTTTTCTTTATATGTTACAACATGCTTTAAAGTTCAATATTCTATGTATCTGATAAACCAGCAAGTTAAACTCATCACTTTGGGCTTCAAGCCCATGTAACCACTTTTGGTTTCAGCCAGGGTTACACATTTTCCTTCTGGTTCAAAACAGGAGGCGTTCACAAGTCTATATTCTGCTTCTCTCTATATAGAGTGCCATTTTATCTCTACTGCACTCCCATACATTTACATTTCTTAGAAGAAAAATAGTTACGTTTACCAGATTATGCTGTGTTTTGTTTTAAATGTATATGCAAGATTTAGAAGTTAAAGCAACACTCCAGGCACCATTACAACTTTACCTCAATGAAGGTGTGATGGTGGCCAGGAGTTCAAGGGCTCCATTTTGCCTCACAGAGATAAACCATATATAAACAGTTTAAAGTCCAAGTTGTGAAGACAGGGCCACTACGCTGTGCCTTCTGGTTGCAGGCAATGTCCAAGGCTTCAATGAGCAAGCCTTGGATGGGGTGCCACTAATCGGCTGAGAACGTCAAATGACAGTCAATGAGTTATGCCCTGCATTGGTCTATCGCCCAGCAGACAAAGGTAAGAGCTAACTGAAGCTCCTGCTGAGAAACATCTGGCTCTCAGGAGATTGTAATGGAGGAAACGAACAGGGGGGAAATATAAATGCCCCACTGGTTAGTCACTTGCATTATCTCTTGATAGTCCCAAGGTATTTTATGACTACGGCAATTCTACCTTAATAGCCATTAAAAGGGAATTGTCATTTCCAGGGTAAATATTAGATTGAACAAATCTGTATGGCATGGTGTAGGGTAGGGATCGACAGATTATCAGTCTGGCCGATATTATTGGCAGATATTCAGTATTTTATAACTGCATCGGCCAATAAAGATACTGTTATTGCCGATAATACATACCAGGACCGCCGGGCCCATTACAAGCCCGGCGGTCCTCGGGGGGCCCGCAGTAAGTGCTTACTTACCTTCCAAGCAGCTCCCTGTGTAAATCTCGCGAGTCCCACAGCCATCTAAGCGTTGCCATAGGGAGATATACACAGGGAGCTGCTTGGAAGGTAAGCGCTTGCTGTGGGCCCCCACTGTACTTCCCATGCCAATGGACCACCAGGGAATGCTATATCCCACCTCCCTGGCCAGGTAACAAGCAGGCAGGGGGAACTAAAAAAATAAAAAATTTAAATAAAAAAAATGCCCCCTCCCCCAAATTACATACCTACAGAAACACACACACACACAGCATTATATAAACACACTACACAAACACACTGTATATAATGCAGTGTGTTTGTGTAGTATGTTTATATAATGCAGTGTGTGTTTATATAATGCACACTACACAAACACTGAATTATATACACACTACACACTCCGCATTATATAAACACACACTACACACTGCATTATATAAACACACTACACAAACACTGTATATAATGCAGTGTTTGTGTAGTGTCTGTATAGTGAATGCAGTGTGTGTGTGTTTATATAATGCACACTACACAAACACTGAATTATATACACACTACACACTCCGCATTATATAAACACACTGCATTCACTATACACACACTACACACTGCATTATATAAACACACTACACAAACACTGTATATAATGCAGTGTTTGTTTGTGTAGTGTCTGTATAGTGAATGCAGTGTGTGTGTGTGTGTTTATATAATGCACACTACACAAACACTGAATTATATACACACTACACACTCCGGATTATATAAACACACTGCATTCACTATACACACACTACACACTGCATTATATAAACACACTACACAAACACTGTATATAATGCAGTGTTTGTTTGTGTAGTGTCTATAGTGAATGCAGTGCTCTACACAAACACACTCTGCATTCACTATACACACACTACACAAACACTCTGCATTCACTATACACACTACACAAACACACAGCTCCCCTGTCTAAAAACACTGCATCCACTACACATGGCATGTATATTTTGTGCATCACCTTTAGAAATAGTTTATTTTTTTCAAACTGGTAAATGTACAGAATATCGGTAAGTTATCGGCCTGAAAGTTCACAGATTATCGGAATCTGTATCCGCTCTAAAAAAAATAAATCAATATCGGTCGATCCCTAATGTAGAGGACATCTTTATTGTATTGTGGGTCTGAAGAGGTTACAAAAGGAGGAGAGACAAGCATTTATTATTATCGCCATTTGTACAGCGACTACAGATTCCGTAGCTCTTTACAATATTATAAAGCTGGGATTTAACTATAAATAGGACAATTACAAGAAAACTTACAGGAACGATAGGTTGAAGAGGGCCCTGCTCAAACAAGCTTACAGTCTATAGAAGGTGGGGTATAAAACACATTAGGACACATTAGAATTGAAAGTTAGTGTGCATTACCAGAGTCTCTTAGCGCTTAAATACAGTGAGCTTGTCTACCTCCCTCTGAAACTTAAAAGACATGTCTGAAGACACCTCAGCTGAGGCTTCGACTGATTTGTGACTCAAACAGCAGTTGATGTCTTCTTTGGTGAGAAAGGAGAGGAATAGAACTGCCTCAGATGAATGATCCACTGCAAGGATATCATTTTTTAAAAAGTGTATATTATGACGGGTATTTATAAATAGCGTCAGCATATTCTGTAGCGCTTTACAATATTATCGATGGTGGTGGTTTAACAATAAATGAGACATTTACAAAAACTTACAGGAACAATAGGTTTAAGAGGGCCCTCTAGATATAGCTGCCGACATTTTCGCCACTGTTGTATTGCTAGCACTGTGGCCTCACATTCTACACAAGTATGATTTTTTTTTTTTTATTGATTTTTTTTTTTTTTTTTTTTTAACAGCAATCATGACATCGCCAGTAAGAGTGGCAATTTCCTCCATCACAGTAGCCATATGTTCTTGATACATTATCAAGATGTCATTTTTGGTACCAGAGGTTTTAATCACAGCCTTCAATTCAGTGTATGATGTATTCTAGTGACGGTAAGCCTTCCTTGTAGAATCCAGAAGAGAGATATAATAGGTGTCATCTTGGGTATAGTAGGCCAGTATGTCTACTGCAAAAAAATAACTCATAGCACAAGAGCAGAATTCCACAACAGATCTTTCTTTATGTCCAATGTTTATGTTTCAATGTCCATAAGCTTTACGGTCAAGAATAATCTCACAGTGGAGCCTAGGAGTATGGTGCCCATTTCCTTTGAGCCATGGCCCTGCCTCTTCAATTCTTTAACATAATTTGCTGTTTACATGCAGTCTCAAGCTTGTAGACTCCTAAGCTTCTTCTTTAGCACACATGACCAGTATATTAACATTTAGTAAGCAAATGAGGTCTTTGGCGTATCCACTCACAAATGGAGCTTGACACTGACCCGCCCTTTAGGACAGACTTTAATAGAGTGACATGACACTTGTGACAAATCCGATGAAGCTGGTAACCCGGAGAAACGCGTCATCCAACACTGTGCGAGATGTTATCACGTTTTCCCCGCCTCCCAGAAGGACCTGCAATGAGAGCGGACAGCCCCCAATGCGAGCCTGTGCAAGAGAAGCCGGCGGCACCAAGCAGAGGGACTGATCCACAGAACTGAATATCTGGTTGTAAGGAGGCTTAGCTGTTTTGTGCAGGTTTTATATGTTGTTGTAATAAAGACTTTTCTGCACCAGTGGCTTTGAAGGCCAGTTCACTCGGATATCCCATGTAGATGCTTATATAAGCGGTTATATAGTTAGAGCAGACTTTCCTGCTCTTTATTTGTGAGTGGTTTTATTAATATATTTCTACACTTCTTTTTACCCTAACAATATTATACTATATATTTTTTCTTTCCTTTTCATGGCTCCCCGCAAATAATGAATATCAAACCCTATTAAGGAATTTTTTTAAGTGTCTTTTACATTGCACTTAAATGGAAATATTCTGCACATTCAAATTGCACTTTAGTAAACATTTTTTTGCAGAGTGAATAGCACTATTCACATATTTTGCACTATAATGCTTGTACTCACTTGATAAAGTGCGTTAAAGCAGTTTATTGTCTTAAAGGCACAGTGCACCTTAAAATATTTTATTTGTTTTGAGTGTTTTTTGGGGCTATATGCACATACACAACAAAAATAAATAAATTAAATTAAAAAAAATAATTTAATAAAAAATTCCCCCTCACACACACTCCATTATATACACATACACTACACAAACACACTGTGTATATAATGCAGTGTGTGTATAGTGTGTGTATATACAATGCACACAAATACACACACTGCATTATATACACACACTATACAAACACACAGCATTATATACACACACAGCATTATATACACACTATACAAACACACACTGCATTATATACACACACTATACAAACACACACTATACAAACACACACTGCATTATATACACTGCATTATATACACACACTATACAAACACACTGCATTATATACACACACTATACAAACACACACTGCATTATATACACACACTATACAAACACACACTGCATTATATACACACACTATACAAACACACACTGCATTATATACACACACTGCATATAATGCAGTGTGTTTGTATAGTGTGTGTATACAATGCACACAAATGCACACACTGCATTATATACACACACTATACAAACACTATTATATACACACACACTGTATTATATACACACACACTACACACACACTGTATTATATACACACACACTATTATATACACACACACTGTATTATATACACACTACACACAAATACTGCTTTATATACACACACTATACAAACACACACTCTGTATTATATAAACACTACATTCACTATACACACACACTACACAAATACACACACTCTGCATTCATTATATACACACACACTTTGCATTTAGTATATACAGCATTCACTTTATGCACACTACCCACACACTACACAAACACTCTGCGCTTTCATTATATACACACTACACTAATACACACTGCATCCACTACACACACTCGACAAACACATTACACAAACACACAATGCATCCACTACACACACAAACACACAATGCATCCACTACACACACAAACACACAATGCATCCACTACACACAAAAACACACAATGCATCCACTACACACACAAACACACAATGCATCCACTACACACACAAACACACAATGCATCCACTACACACACAAACACACACATACACAAACACATACAGCTCCCCTGTCTAAACACACTGCATCCACTACACGTGGCATGTATATTTTGTGCATTTACCTTTAGAAATAGTTTTTATTTTCCAAAATGGTAAATGTACAGAATATCGGCAAATTATATCGGCTATCGGCCTGAAAGTTCACAGAATATCGGTATCGGCTCTAAAAAATCAATATCGGTCGATCCCTACTTAATATATTCACTCTGTGATGACTGTTCACTTTATCTAAAAGTGTTCGTACATCAGATTACAGTTTGCATGTGCCCAAAAGATGCATGCAACTTCCTGAAGGCTGCAGCAACTTACCTGGCTGTTACAATGTAAAATTTGAAGAAGAAAAAAAACAAAAGAAAACAGATCCCTGAAACTCTACTGTCTTTTTTTTTTTTTTTTTTTAATCCTTTTTTTGTCCATTTCCCTTAATTTCATTTTTAGTTTTTTGACACATAAGAAAAAGTAGAGAGAGTACTTTTTCATAAAGACCATGGCAATGGGTAAAGTTTAAATAGACACTGTAGGCACCCAGACCACTTCAGCTCATTGAAGTGGTCTGGGTCCAATGTCCCACATCCCTCAACCCTACAGTTGTAATTATTGCGGTTTCTGAGAAACTGCAATAATTACCTTGTAGGGTTAACTCCTCCAATTGCTGTCTATGCATGAGGACTTCCAGCGTCACCGGAATCTCCATAGGAAAGCATTGATTAATGTTTTCCTATGGGGAAATCATAATGCATAAATGGCCATTGCCACGCATGCACATTTGGTCTCTTCCATCAGCTGACGTCAGCGGGAAGACGGACCCGAGCAAACGCCAAAGGGCATCGGTGCTGGACCCAGGTAAGTGACAAAAAGGATTAACTGGCATGGAAACCTTCCACATTTAGAATGCGCCTTACTGTGCTAACTGAAACCTCAGTGCCTGTTGTCACCAAGTTATGCTGCCGGTTTTTTGAAGTCACTCGAGGGTTTTTCACAGCCTGCCTTCTTAGAAATCTGGTTGCAGGCATTGATAGCTTCCTTTTTCTACACTCAAGCACAGCTGGTGAAATTAATTGATTAGTTAAAGGACCACTATAGGAACCCAGACCACTTCAGCTTAATGAAGTGGTCTGAGTGCCAGGTCCAGCTAGGGTTAACCCTTTTTTCTATAAATGTAGCAGTTTCAGAGAAACTGCTATGTTTACATTAGGATTAATCCAGCCTCTAGTGGCTGTCTCATTGACAGCTGCTAGAGGGCTTCCGCGCCTCTCACTGTGAAAATCACAGTGAAAATCACAGTGAGAAGACGCCAGCGTCTATAGGAAAGCATTGTGAATGCTTTCCTATGGACTAGCTGAATGCGTGCGCGGCTCCTGCCGCGCATGCGCATTCACCTGAAGAGGAGGAGACACGGCAGAGAGGAGGACTAGAGTTCCCCGCCCAGCACTGGAGGTAAGTTTACCCCTTCCTCCCCCCCAGAGCCCAGTGGGAGGGGGACCCTGAGGGTGGGGGCACCCTCAGGGCCCTATAAGGGTCCTTTAAATCAAGTGTGCTTGAGGACTGTAGTGTGAAAAAAAAAATTAAACTAGAGAAGTCATAAGTTTCATGTTCAGTTGAATTTGGGGACACCATTCGAAGCATTGGTGGTGTTGAGCCATTTCAATGGTTTGATTTGTTCACTGAATAATTTTGATTGCACGCACACATATACATAATAAATTATATATATATATATATATATATATATATACACACATACATATATATATATACACACACACACACAATGAACGAAATTATAAACGCAACACTTATTTTGCCACCATTTTTCACGAGCTGAACTCAAAAGATCTAAGACTTTCTATGTACACAAAAGGCCTATTTCTTTAAATATTGTTCACAAATCTGTCTAAATCTGTGTTAGTGAGCAGAGTTAATCCATCCAACTCACAGGTGTGGCATATCCAGATGCTGATTAGACAGCATGATAATTGCAAAGGTGCGAACAATATTTGAGAGAAATAGGCCTTTCGTGTACATAGAAAAAGTCTTAGATCTTTGAGTCCAGCTCATGAAAAAATAGGGGCAAAAACAAAAGTGTTGCGTTTATAATTTTGTTCAGTGTATACACACACTTTGATTTTTTTTTTCCCGGCAAATACACAAGTTTTGATCCAGCTTCAATCATGTTTGCTCGACACTGATGGCTGCAATAATTCAGCCATCTTCAGTTGTTCCATTTTAATATGTCTGGGAGAATTAAAAAGCATGTTCACATGGATCACAAATAAAGCCTTTATTATATCCTTTCCCAACTAAATTACAATTTAATTTCTCTTTTCAATGTTATACAAAGTGTAGCTGCAATGAAAGTTTGATAGATATCTGACTGTCCCATGTCATTTTCCATTATCCTACAGATTCTTGCTTTTAAAAAATTTGTATAGTGTGTCAGAAACTTATTTAATCTGAAAACTGTAGTAAGATAGAATCCTAATGCATTAATGGCAACAGTTTAACAGTTTTTCACTTCTATTACACATTCATCATAACTCAAATAACATCCTTTTATACATCCTTGTCTGCCTAAAGAAACACACAGATTAAATTTGTTTTTTCTATTAGGCAGAAGTTTTAATATTGAGGTGGGACTGTAGATATGAGATTTGCTGAGCATTTTGGAAAATACCAGGTACAACAACATCAGCAGTACTACGGTCACTACTGTGAATAGATTTTCCTTTTTTTAAGACATACTTGGTATAATATTTTTTAGGTGTTAACATATTAAGGACCTGCCCTACCTTAATTGCATCAAACAAAACATTTTCTAATAATTCAGGAGCTTTCATTTCTGGTCTTAAAGTCCACCTCACCCTTTTTTCAGAACACACCTTTCTTAAGTATATTTAATTTACCATGTAAACTCCATCAAATTATTATTAACCTTAACATTACTTTGAAGTAAGAGACCTGTCTTGATCTAGGTATGAACAATCAGACTGAACCCATTAATAGCAAATGGTAAAGTAAAAAAGACCTTGTATATAAAGAAAATAAAACTTTAGCCTAAAATTAGAAAGCATAAACTCCGCAATTAACATACACTGTGTACAGAAATCATAACGCCTAATTCTGTAGCATCCATATTACAGCCTCCAAAATCCAAACTGAATAACAACAAATAAATGTGCTCTCAAACACAAAGTTACATGTTCTACGCCATATCTCAGGTTGCCTACAGATATTAAAATGGTCCCACCTTTGCTAGATATCTAAATGTGGGGAAAGAAAATTAAAAAGAAAGAAAGAAAATAAATAAAAAATTGGCCCTGATCGCCATGTTCATAGAACTAAAGTTAGGACCCTTGCACATAGAATGTAAAATGAGGTTCATGTAAAAGGAATCATTTACATGTGTGTAAATCACCTTGGCTGTGGACTTGTCCATTGTATTTGTATGCATGCCGCCATCTATATACTGGTAGCATGCACAAATGTTATAGGACTAGTTCATATGCATACTCTGCAACTAAAGCTTGTTGGCCCATTACAGGTTACTATCCTACTCATTCACATTATGAATGGGAGTTAAAGGACCACTATAGTGCCAGGAAAACAAACTCCAGTGGCGCTGAAGGGGTTAATCCCTTACCTCTTTTCCAGCGCCGGGGAATCTCCTCCATCTTCCGTCATTGGCTGAAGGCGCATGCGCGGCAAGAGCCGCGCGCGCATTCAGCCAGTCCATAGGCAAGCATTCTCAATGCTTTCCTACGGACGCTGGGTCTTCTCACTGCGAAAATCACAGTGAGAAGCGCGGAAGCGCATCTAGCGGCTGTCAATGAGACAGCCACTAGAGGCTGGATTAACCCGTTTACAGCAGACAGGGTTAACCCTCGAGGGACCTGGCACCCAGACCACTTCATTAAACTGAAGTGGTCTGGGTGCCTATAGTGGTCCTTTAAATCATGCAAAGAATGGTTACATGTACATACACCACTCATACCTTTCAGATCAAGGGATTTGTGGAAAGGAGAAGAAGATGGTAGACTTTATTTGCCTATCAAGAAGTCAGAGACTTCAGTTTACCATAACGAGTCCTATCTAAAAACTGCACATTAATGACTTGAGACGCTTTATGAAAGAAGTTGTAGCCCAAAACATTTTTTAAAGAACTAACACTAAAATCTGCAATGAATCACATAAATCTATGTTGTGTTAACCATGTTCTTGGCTGAATTATGCTAGGAATGATTGTATTAAAATTGTGTGTATTTAACAATATTATATATATATATCTATATCTATATCACCCTATAATGTATGCATGTTCAGGTGAGTGCAGCACTCTTGGTTTCATATAAATATAAGAAAGACACCAATTCCTTGCACACAGGCTCAAAATGTAAAATCCGTGTGCTTGCAGTCTGGGGGAAATTCAGATATCCAAATAGTAAGCATGACAAGCACTCACGGTTTTGTTGAAGAAGAGTAGCCTCGTCTGGGACTTTCATCAGAAACAAAATCGTGAGTGCTGGTCATGCTTACTATTTGGAGAGAGATCGAGAATATATATATATATATATATATATATATATATATATATATATATATATATATATATATATATATATATATATATATATATATATATCTATATCTCTATCTATCTATCTCGTGGGAAAGGACTACAAGCAATTTTCATCACATTTAAAGGAACACTATAGTGTCAGGATTACAAACATGTATTACTGACACTATAGTGCTGGAATGCAGCATTAGATCCCGGTCCCCCTCTCCGGAGATTAAAGGTGAATTTTTCTCCCACACCGATCTTGCCACGACTCCATGACGGAGATCATCAATTTTGATGATCTCTACAAATCCAATGCATTTTCATATTTAAAAAAAAAAAATTAAATTGGGAGGCTACTCTTCTGCAAAATGCAGCACTACACCAATCAAAGTCTTCTCATAGAGATGCACTGAATCAATGCATCTCTATGGGGAATGTTCAGTGCCTCCACGCAGTGACTGCCTGTTCTCTGAAAAGGCAGTGTTAAAACTGCAGGGACGTGCTATAGACATCAGAACCTCTACAGTAAGTAAAGGTTCTGACAACCATAGATTCCCTTTAACTTGCACATCATCTGTGTCTGAAAGGTGGACAGAGTGGGAGCACCATCAGATGATTTTTTTTAAACATTAAAAATAAATGTGTTGGTGTCCAGGATGACTAGGGCTTTTCGAATATCTACTTACATATCACAGCTACATAAATATAACACTTACAAGATTATTCACTAAATTTAATATTCAAGGTGAATTTCAAATATATGGTCAAAATATCTGAACAGGAAAAGTTATTTAAGCCAGCTATATGTTTAGATTAGCCATTGTGGTCTAGACTTGAAATACACTTTAAATTCTCACTTGAGTAAAGAACCTCTGCACTCCAGATATTGCGGACTACAACTCCTTTAACACTTTGCCAGCATTAAGGGAGATGCAGGCCACAATATCTGGAGTGCTGATTGTTGCCTATCCAAGGACTTGGCAGTGGGACATGCTTTATGGACACACGTTCACTCAAAGGGTTACTCCAACCACCATAACCACTTCAGTCATTTGAAGTGGTCATTGTGGTAGGAATTTAGATATGCAGCATTTCTGCCAGAAACACTAAACATCTAGAGATCTTGTTACGCCACAAGTATACGTGACTTGGGCAACAAGAACTCTTTTCTGGGCTACCCAATATCAAATATGTTCAAAAATTAGGTCTATCGTCAGCGTGCTGGCAACAGATATTTTCTCCCTTGCAGGCAGCAGAGTGAACTTGTTCTCCCCTTTCTCCATTTGTATGCTCTATCCTGCTTATCTTCATAGTTTACATTTAAAGAAAAAAATTATCTTTTTAAATTGTTTCTGGGTCAGACCATGTACATGCTCGTGAGAAGCATTTGATTGGGCAGCTCAAGGCCCTTACTGACATCAGACAAGGCATGGAGAGGAGTGCCAGGAGCTATGCAAAGCAAGATCCACTGGATTTCAGGTAAGTTTTAAAATTGACCTAGCTAATATTGAACAATGAGGCATTGTAAAATAGATATATTACAGCAACTGTAAGAATTTAAAGCATGTGAACATGGTGAGATACAGCATTTGCCTAAAATAATATATTTAGGAGCCAATGCATTCTGCACACAGTAGATGAAATGTTGATTTGTATTGTTAAACATGCCCATATGTAGTATAATACACCATTCTGATACTGCTAAACAATGTCGTATAAGCATTAAAAAAAAATAATGACGTGGGCTTTGTACCCTATGGATTCAAGCCCACGTCAGAGCTTTCTACAAAAATTTTATAACTGTCTAGACTTGTGTATGTTATTCTTTTAGATATAAATCAGTAAATTGTAGTACTCAATACAAGTGTCTGTATTTTAACAATGACCACTATTTTCTATACATCCATATGGAATGGTACTTGCATTATTACTATAAAATATGATAATCGCTCAGCCCAACGATCATTTATGTAAACAATATAGAACAAAAATCAAGTTTTCCCACACACGTATAAATGTAATTGCTGCATAAATATAAGATATACTGTGGGGTTATTAATTAAACTAGTGCATTGTGGTGAACTGAACATGAAACTACAAAATCAGGGTAAAAATTTATGATTTTATTATTTTGAAAGATTCATCAGCTCAACTATAGATACAGTGGTATTTTCCCTAAACTTCAAATTGTAGCAAATTTAATCGTATAGGTAACATTTAGGTAATAGTTAATTATTTGGGAACATTCTCCAACCTATGTTACTGCTCATATTTTGATTTGCAACAATTTGGAATTCAGCCATTTTTCTAACTTGGTTTCCAATTCATTGTTCAAGGTATAAATCCTTAAATACTCAAAAACTGTAGATTTCAGTGTAACCACCCCCCAAAAAAACAAAACAGTTGTCCTTCCTTTTAAAAAAACACATTGTACAAACTAAATTTGGAATTCATAAAGTATATATTTAACCAGTGTGTTAATGGTAAACACACTCACCACAGAAGACCAATTTGCACACAATGTTCATCCAACAATAGGAAACAAAATCTGGTGTCTGTGTGCGGAATGTCAGTCTTTACTGCTCTAGTTGGGGAGTGTAAATTATAGCAACCCCCTCAGACAAAAGCTGCCCCCAGGCATTACAAATACATTGTGAGGATCCTATTCACAGGACCACAAAGTGTTGTGTGAAACCCACTGGTTTGCAAAAGGTTGTCACCGTGAGATCAGACTGTTTAGCTACTTAGTATCTCTCTCTCTCTATATATATACACACACATATATATATATATATATACACACATATATATACATATACACACACACACACACACATAAAAACACAAAGATGGAGAGCTGGAGTGCCTGTAATGGTATAAGGATGGGGAGATGGCTATAAGGCCCATTGTACATTATTTATGGCACTGATGACTAACCTTGACACCACTAGATGTTTCTGAACTGCATTTCCTATAATCCTCAGACAGCCCAGATGGCTGTGCACAGGGAAACGCAGTTGCTGTCGATCTGGGTGTCAAGGTTAGCCATCGCTGCCATATCTCCTGCTGGAGGCCTGCGAGAGCTATGTACAAAGCAGGAGATTGGTTTTTAAACGGCTCTCTCTGAGCCCAGCCACAACAAACAAATTCCGCAGTGTGTGATACAGAGCAGGCTGGCTCCCCTCACTAGCCCACTCCGACCCTCACTAGCCCACTCCGACCCTCACTAGCCCACTCCGACCCTCACTAGCCCACTCCGACCCTCACTAGCCCACTCCGACCCTCACTAGCCCACACCGACCATCACTAGCCCACTCCGACCCTCACTAGCCCACACCGACCCTCACTAGCCCACACCGACCCTCACTAGCCCACTCCGACCCTCACTAGCCCACTCCGACCCTCACTAGCCCTCCGACCCTCACTAGCCCACTCCGACCCTCACTAGCCCACTCCGACCCTCACTAGCCCACTCCGACCCTCACTAGCCCACACCGACCATCACTAGCCCACTCCGACCCTCACTAGCCCACACCGACCCTCACTAGCCCACACCGACCCTCACTAGCCCACTCCGACCCTCACTAGCCCACTCCGACCCTCACTAGCCCACTCCGACCCTCACTAGCCCACTCCGACCCTCACTAGCCCACACCGACCATCACTAGCCCACACCGACCATCACTAGCCCACTCTGACCATCACTATCTCGGCTCAGCCCTGGGTATAGCAGGCCGCCCGTGACACCCAGCTGGCGCACAAACAATGGCCGGGCCCCGCACCCTCTCACACGGACGGGCAAAGCCCTCTCACCAGGAATAGGTCTGCTCAGCCATGGCGGCGGCTCCTCCGGGGGTCAGGGCTCGGGCCCGGTGTCTGTCAACGGCGGCTCTGCGGTTCCGCACACAACATGGCGGCCGGGGGCACTCAGTGCTGGGGGAGTGAGGGATTCCTGGAGGCTGGGCCCATGGCAGGAACTGGCGGAAGCGGCGAAAACACCCGGTGGTTTGCACGCAAACGGAGAGGTGGTAGCCGCGGTGGCGCGCTCTGTGTTTTCGGGCCCGGTGCGCGCTCCCGCAGACGTACGACTGAAGGGGGCGTAGACGAGCGTTTTGTGGGAAGCCTGTCACGTGACGACCGTTGGGCGGATCCGAACCGTTGGCCACGCCTCCCCTGTAAGGTAGCCCCGCCCACGTTATGTCACTGGGCGAGGCTTCCATTGTAAACTGGTATAGCCGTGCATGCTGCATGTTTCCAGGTATATGGCTGGCCCCCCTGGACAGGTTACATGGGAGATGGGAATACAGGGCAAATTGCTGGAGGAGAGAGGCAGGAAGGATGCCCTAAAATGTATGGTTGTACCAGTGATCAGTCCTAACCTGAAGCATTTAGTAAATATTTTACAAAAAATTACCATGAATGTTAAATTCTAAGAACAAGGTGATGTCTGGAGCTGAAATTAGAAAATAGATTATATAGTTTGTATTTTATCTTCACTAAAATGGCAATTGGGATCACAAATTTTAGACCATAATAGACATGCTTGAAGAACAGGGGGTATTGTTCCATCTGCTATTAATTCAGCCTAAAATTACATAACTGAGCTACCTGTAATAGAATAATTTAGTATTAGAGTCTGAAACATACCTCCCAACTGTCTTGGATCTGGAGGGTAAGTCACAATTTGGGACCAATGCTCAAACATTTTTCTTGTCCCCTTTTTTGGGACCAGCACTCAGTAAAAGTGTATTTTATTATTTGCCGTTTTGTTCAGGTGTGATATAAGCAAATGACTAACTCATATACTATTTGCTTTACCTAGAATGTGGGGGTAAAAGTGTATTTGAGCATATTTTATTATTTGGAGTTAGTTATTTTGCTTATTCTGCCACTTCACACCTGAACGAAATGGCAAATAATAAAACTCGCTAAAATACACTTTTACCCAGCACTCCATCAAATTGACACTCTATTATCTGATGTGTTTGGGAGGTAGATAGAAAAAGACCCTTATGGCATTGAGGAAGTGTAAAAGAGTAACACAAAAACAATTCTACAGTTTGAAAGAGTGCCAACATTTTTTTCTGTCCCAGAGTTCATGTAATCAAGGTGCGCCTCTGGTTTTAAAATACATTTACAGTTCATTATCAGCATCTGGTTTGTAGGTTTTATCTCTGTGTTGTCCTATATCTAATATGATGGAGTCGCACTGAAATTTGTCATATTGTCCCGAGAAAACGTGACAGACCTTTTGTACTTGTCGTTGTGTTGCGTTGTTTACTCCTTTATGTATTCACATTCACCCATAGACGCAATTCACAAACACTCCGTATCCCTCATAACTACATATACAAACACTCCCTTGAACAATGACATATCTACATTAGATGTTCATATTCATAGGAGTACTTTTTAAAAATGCCAGGTTAAACCAAATCCATAGGGTATTAAAGGAAGTGCTTCATATCTCTGGAGACTGTAATGTTTAACAGTTTATAAAAGTGCCAATATCTATAGAAATTGGCATTTTTTATAACTCTTACTCAGACAGCCAGGAAGGTGTACTTCAGCTTCCATTATGTACACTAAACAGGTGCCCTGGACTACAGTCAGTTTACCTGTCATTTTTTGCAAGAGTTTAGAAAAATATATTTCTTTTTTCTTCTGCTCTGTGGCGTTAACAGAACAGAGTGCGCCTGCCTACCCCACTTCTCAATGAACTGCAGTCAGGGCTGTCATCAGAAATTTTGGGGGCCCTGACAATGCTCAAGATCTGGGCCCCCGAGGGCCTGCCCACGAGTCCGCCCACAGGACTCCTACCAAGTCCACTCACAATGATGCACTCAGCGAATGCAGAGTGTGTGTCTTTGTAGCGGACACAGTGTGTATAGTGAATGCAGAGTGTGTGTTTGTGTAGTGGATGTATTGTGTGTACAGTGAATGCAGAGTGTGTGTTTGTGTAGTGGATGCAGTGTGTATAGTGAATACAGATTGTGTGTTTGTGTAGCGGATGCAGTGTGTATAGTGAATACAGAGTGTGTGTTGGTCTAGCGGATGCAGTGTGTATAGTGAATGCAGAGTGTGTGTTTGTGTAGTGGATGTAGTGTGTGTACAGTGAATACAGAGTGTTTGTGTAGTGGATGTAGTGTTTGTGTGTATCAGATGCAATGTGCTTACTGGATGCAGTGTCTGTGTAGTGGATGTAGTGTGTGTATTAGATGCAATGTCTATGTATAGTAAAAGCAGAGTGTTTGAATGTGTGGTGGATGTAGTGTGTGTATCGTGAATGCAGGATGTTTGTGTAGTGGATGCTGTGTGTATAGTTAATGCAGAGTATGTGTTGGCCACTTGTCTCGCGAGAGTTAATGAGCGCGAGGAGCTGTAATGTACAGATGCAGTGTGCCGGGCCCCCCTGCAAGTACAGGGAGCCGGGGGCCCTCAGCTGCACATAAATATAGCGATCATCGCTATATATATGTGCAGAGAGAGAATGTGGGGCCAAAGCAGTACAGGCCCGTGACAACTGTCATGGTTGTTGTCCCCGCATGGCGGCACTGACTTCAGTACAGCTTATTGAGAAGGATTTGAAAGCAGCAATTATGTGTGTAACTGAGCGCCTGTACCCAGAGTGGTACCTCCGCTTTAGATTCTCCCAGGTTCCTTAGTGAAGCTGTGATATAACTCCTGCATACCCAAACATCAGTCGAAACTTGATGATGGGAACAAAATGAACTGGTTTATTATGGCCAAGTTGCCTGTTTATATACACAACCCCCAGCATGGGGTCTCTATTCAATACAACAGTAAACCCGCCCAGGTGTCTATGTGTCTGGGAGAAAAGTGGGTTTGCTTTTACTTAAACTAATTATCTCCCAGACACTCGAGGTACCATACATAATACATAAAATACCCCAAAATACAAAAATACCCCCTCAAGTATTATATCCCTGGATAGCCTAGATCTGAGCGCCCATAGCGCTCAGATCCATGTAGTATAGCCGAATCGCCACCTGGGTAAAGTTTTGACTGACCGCACACGTTGCTGCTGCCCAAAATAGTTCCAAGGAAAAGGAGGTAGCGGCCGGTCAACTTTCAGGAGATTCTATGTGAAAACAAATGAAGGTTCCCCCTGGCTCGTATTGAGTGAATGTTCTCCGTTCAGGGGTGTCCTTTCCCTGAAATGCGCTCTCCTGGCTTGTCTGGGAACAGAGCAGACAATGATACGATTTTCCCGGGGTTCGCGAGGCCAAGTATCCGAACTAGAGTTTCACACACTCGACGAGAGACAAAATGGCCACCATTTCCTAGCGCATGTTTTCAGTTATACAAATGGTGGCCACAAAGAGAGAGCACTTGAGTTAAGTGTTTCTTTTGAAGTTAACAAACCAGGGGGGTGGTCAGTGTTCGGTCAAACGAAAAATGCCGAACTAAAGGGGAACTTATTGTGTTCGTTTAACTTGGAAATGAAATAGGGAACTTCCTGACAGTCTGTTAATAGTGAGTTCATCACAATTTGCATTTGCAGATACAGCAATAAGTGTTGAGAACACAGCAGCTATACGTCTTCTAGTTCTCTTCCTTTTGCGCATAGGCACAAGGATGAAGTGACCCTATGTGGGTGGGAAATATGCCCATGACGCTAATTGTGTTATGGTCACTCTCACTCACTGTCATACCCTCACCCAACTTCCCTCCCTTCTCCTGAAGGAAGTTATGCTGTAATCATGGCCAAAAACAAGAAGTTGTGATGTATTCACCTATCCAAGACACATATTCAAAACATGGTCTAATGAGGAAAGGGTTGTTGCCTCAATTTAAGATTGTGTATTATACTTTTGATTAAGGAGTTAACGTGCAGGACGTAAACCTGTCATTTTCAAGGGATCTGCAATCATTCATTAGTTACTCAAAAATGACAGAGCTGCTTTTATGAGGATTATGTATATAACATCATTATTACTACAGTGTCTATGAAACATTTATAATTTTCAGACAAACTTAGCTGGCAGCCTGACATATCTGATCAAAGATGTAATTCCTCCCACAGCCAAACTTTTGTTGTTCACATGATTGGCCATTTGTAAACAGAGGCTTGTAACTGTTGGAACAAGGTGCCTTGTACATTGTGCCAACTAAAGTTCTAGCATATATACAGTTAGCTCTGGAAATATTTGGACACTGTTACAACTTTTGTTATTTCGTCGTTTACCAAAATAAATTCAAGTTACAGTTAAATAATGAATATGTGCTTAAAGTGACGTTTCTCTGCTTTATTTGAGTGTATTCATTAGGAATTTGTCAGACATTTTGTGGTTAAAGTTAATACTATAGTACAATTCACAGCTTAGCCCACCTCTTTTTAAGTGACCAACAGTAATTGGACAATTAACTCAAAAGCTGTTTCATGGACAGGAGTTAAGTACGTAAAGGGTCTGGAGTTGATTCCACATGTGGCATTCGTATTTGGAAGCTGTTGCAGTGAACCCACGACATGTGGTCAAAGGAGCTCTTAATGCAAATGAAACAGGACATGCTTAGGCTGTTGTCTGATGTCTGTTGTCTCAAATTCAGCAAAGTTGATTCAACGGCACTTCACTTTACATTGTGGTGACGTACAGAGCCAAAATTAGGAAAATTGTGTCAAAATATTTCCAGACCTAACTGTATATATTTTAATTTACAAATATGATCCCTTATTTACTTATAATCCATTATTGGTACAGACCTATATGCAGAGGATTGAGTGACAAGGCTTGCATCAGAAATTTCCCTAAGCAGTATTACTACTTACAATGGGGGAGTGCCTGTGTGATGTTCCTTTAAAATTAATCAGGTTTTTGTAGACATACTATCTACAAGCTTTATGGTATTCACTGTACTTAAAGGGATTCTCCAGTGCCAGGAAAACACATTTGTTTTCCTGGCATTGCAGCACCCTGTAGTGCCCCTCTCCCTCCCACCCTCCCATCCCAAGTTGCTGAAGGGGTTAAAACCCCGTCAGCGACTTACCAGAGTCCAGAACCGATGTCCCTCGGCGCTTGTCAGGCTCCGCCTACTCTCCTGCGCATGCGCATTAGACCTCCCCATAGGAAAGCATTATTCAATGCTTTCCTATAGGGATTTCGGCGACACTGGAGGACCCCACAGAGCGGGAGGACGTCCAGCGTTGCTTAAAACACTTTTTGTGTTCTAAGAACACGGAAGTCCCTCTAGTGGTTGTCTGATAGACAACCACTAGAGGAGGACTTAACCCTGCAAGGTAAATATTGCAGTTTATGAAAACTGCAATAATTACACTTGTAGGGTTAAGGGTAGTGGGAGTTGGTAACCAGACCACTCATATGGGCAGAAGTGGTCTGGGTGCCTGGAGTATCCCTTTAAGGTTGATTTTATGTGTCAAGACATACTGTGTATTGTACAGTAGACCCAAGAGTGGTCAAGTGGATTACAGTGGACTCTGTATTGGCTTTGGAAGCCTAGGTAAAGGGACAGTGTAGTCAACAAAACAACTTTAGCTCAATAAAGCAGTTGGGTGTATAGATCATGCCCCTGCGATCTTACTGCTCAATTTTCTGCAATATAGGAGTTCAATCACTTTGTTTATGCATCCCTAGTTACACCTCCCTATATGTGACTTGCACAGCCTTTCTAAACTATTCCTGTAAAGAGTTGTCAAATGTTTACACTTCCTTTATTGCTAATTCTGTTTAATTTTGAATTTACTATCTCCTGCACTGTTTATAGCTTGCTAGACTCTGCAGGAGCCTTCTGTGTGTGATTAAAGTTCAATTTACAGAGCAGGAGATACAATTTTTTAACATCTGATTGAAAATTAAACCATTTTGTTTGCATGGAAGCTGTGTCATTCACAGCCAGGGTGGTGTGGCTAGGGCTGCATAACTAGAAACAAAATTGATTTAACTCCTAAATGGCAGTGAATTGAGCAGTGAAACTTCAGAGGTAGAATATATCTACAGGATTCTGCTCTCTCCTGGTGCTCCTCCTACCTCTCCCAGCGCTCCTTCAGTGTTTCTTTCTCTGGCTCTGCCTCTTCTCCCCAACCCCTCCCTGTCGGCGTCCCCCAAGGTTTTGTCCTCGGCCCCCTACTGTTCTCTATCTATACTGCCTCCCTTGGTAAACTCATCAGCTCCTTTGGCGTCCAATACCATTTATATGCAGATGACACGCAAATCTACCTGTCCTCCCCTGATCTCTCTCCGCCCACCTTGACTCGTGTTTCTGACTGCCTCTCTGCTATTTCCAACTGGATGGCTGCTCACTTCCTTAAACTCAACCTGTCCAAAACAGAACTTCTAGTTTTTCCTCCCTCAAGTGCTGCTACTCCTGTGTCTGTCGCCATCCAAGTCAACGGCGCTACTATCACCTCTACCTCCCAGGCTCGCTGCCTAGGAGTTCTTTTTGATTCTGATCTCTCTTTTACTCCCCATGTTCAATCGATAGCCAAATCCTGTCGCTTCCAACTCAAGAACATAGCGCGCATCCGCCCATATCTAACGCCGGACGCGGCTAAGGTACTGGTTCATGCTGTTGTTCTCTCTCGCCTTGACTATTGCAATCCCCTTCTCACCGGTCTTACATGTTCCCAGCTTGCACCGCTGCAATCTATAATGAATACGGCTGCGAGGCTTATTTTCCTGTCCGGTCGCACCTCCCACGCCTCCACGCTCTGTCAGTCCCTGCATTGGCTTCCAGTTAGATATAGGGCCCAATTCAAAATTCTGGCGCTTGCTTACAAATCCCTACATAATGCTGCTCCAACATACCTATCCTCCCTCATACACAAGTATGTCCCGACGAGACCCCTGCGCTCAGCCCAAGACCTACTCCTATCCTCTGCCTGGATCCCCACCTCTGATGCTCGCCTTCAAGACTTCTCCAGGGCTGCACCTATTCTGTGGAACTCCCTTCCCTCCTCAATCAGACTTTCACCCAGCCTCCATTCCTTCAAAAAATCTTTGAAAACTCACTTCTTCATTAAAGCGTATCAATTAAACTGTCAGCAGGTTTCTCATCCCCCACCCCATGACTCCGTTCCTGCACCTGTCAAAAATGACCTACCAAGCACTCAATAAACCCTTCTGTAACAAACTATTTAATTCCCCTACTTTAACCCTTTGTGTCACTATACCCCACTCCCTCTAGCATGTAAGCTCATCGAGCAGGGTCCTCAACCCCCTCTGTTCCTGTACGTCAGTGGTCTGATCTCAATTATGTGTCTGTTAGTCCACCCATTGTACAGCGCTACGGAATTTGTTGGCGCTATATAAATAATAAAATAATAATAATATACCAAAACTGCTTCATTAAGCTAAAGTTGTTTTGGTGACTATAGTTCAATAGATAGTTACATAGCTGAAAAGAGACTTGCGTCCATCAAGTTCAGCCTTCCTCACATATGTTTTTGCTGTTGAACCAAAAGAAGGCAAAAAAATCCAGTCTGAAGCACTTCCAGTTTTGCAACAAACTAGGAAAAAAATCCTTCTTGACTCCAATATAGCAGTCAGATGTCTCCTTGGATCAAGCAGCTATTACCCTACCAATTAGAAATTGTATCCCTGTATGTTATGTTTTTGGAAGTATTTATCCAACTGCCAATCTCCTCAAGCTCCAGTTCTTGCTGATCTCCTACTCCCTCCCCGCCCCCCCTCACCCCCTGGAACGGCGGGGGTTATCCCGGTCCCCACTGGGCTATTGTGAACTATCACAACAACACTTGCATTACACTGCACACTGCCGGGTTACATGCAGATCAGGGCAGCTGCCCCTTCACTGGTTGAACAGGGCCTGGGCCTGGGCCACGAGCCTCAACACAACCCTATCGAGCACGTCCTACACTGCCTGGATGTAGCCTTCCAGAACTTCAGGAGAAGTCTTTGCAAGCGAACGCAAACTGCCTGGCCAGAACAGCAGGAGAATCGGGCAACACGTAAGCTGCCAAGGAAAGTGGGACCTCCCCAGGGTGATCCTGCCCTGCCAGTGCCTTCTACTTCAGATGCCTGCCTACCTGGGCCGAGAGTCATCGACCACCAATGCGGAGGATCAAGCCTCGAAGGCGGAACGCACCTTCTGGATCCTCTGCTTATGCCAGAAGAGGACTTGGCCTGGCCCTCAGTGTTCAAGTCCGTGGACTTATGATGCAGGCTCTTACACAGGCCTGGAGCCGAGGGGGAGCCTCACAAAGGCGTATATGTGCTGCCCTGGACACGAGTCTCTCTAGCTTCACGGCAACTCTACCTGCGTTCCTGCCCAGGGCCATGATGGGAGAATGAAGCATCACTTCAGAAAAAAGGCTGGACTCAATACTGCATCCCATCTGCGGCATCGAATGAACAGATTTGATGACAGCTTTATGCAGGCTGAGGCTACCATCTCAACCTCATAGCAGTATTAGCAGTTCAACATACCATTTTGTTTTCTCGCTCTGATTTTGTCTCTTGTTTAGCCTAGCATGTTTCACTCAGTTACCCAGTGGCACTATACATACTTTGTCAGCTAATATAACTTGATCTGTTATAACTAGACTATTTCTCGACTGACATATTACTCATCCTGTTTCATGCATGTTATTCTATAAAAAAATAAAAAAATAAAATGAGGCTGTGTAAACTAGGAGTATGTCTCCACGTGATTCTTCATCGTATGGAGCTCTTGACATTATTCATATTATGCATATAAAGCACGTATTCAGTTATGTTGTGACTCCTTACTATGTGTATCGAATGCCTTTCTATGCCTCAATAAAAATAATGATTGACAAAATAAAAATCCTATTTTCTTGACAACAATCCAGATTCTTTAAATGGATGCAAGATGCAGATGCAATGTCACGTCTGCAAGTTGTATCTAGGTACCAAAGCTTAACTTATACTGTTCTTTATGTATTGTTGTTGTGTAAAGTCTAATTTTCTCAGTCTCGGTGAGAAAGTTTGTGCACATGAGTATAGCTACTGCATGGGGTTCCTTGAGATCCATAAACTCTATTTAATCTAAAACATTGTGACTTTGATTGAGAAGATAACTACCATTGTCATCTTTCTACTTGCATTCCGATATAAAGCGCTGTTTCCCATTCTTTTGACTTCTACTTTGTTCCATTGTGCAACAATGTCTATACAGTCCTGTTGTCGTTTACAAATCACAACCACTTGTAAACGAATAGATAAATCCATTTTCCATTTTTTTTGGTAAATAGACATGGGTCTGCTTTACTCTGAATTTGCTTTTGTTCTATGAGGATTTCGCATTGTTTCTTGCAGCTTGTTTGAGTTCAATTATTATTTGTATAGCTTTCATACTAGACCTTTATTGTTTCAAATACTCCATACTCCATCATGTAAAGCTCTTCATCTATTTACCATTCATAAAGCTGATTATACATCTAGTTGCTCAACATAAACCTGTTTAGATGTTTTCAGTAATGTGCTGATTGTGTTTAACTCATTTTCAGGGCTACCAATATGACACTCAGGACTCTTTACAACCTCAATGACCAGGCCCCCAATACACTAACACACATTCCTAAACACAACTACCATGCTCACACTAATGAACACGCAGGCAGATAAACCCACACATAAAGATACTGATCCAAACATCCCCTTACTAGGGTACTGACTGTACCCCCAGATGATGGCACTACTTGTCATAGTCCTTTCCATACTTCTGAGCAAATGCTTTTGCTATCAATCTAGCTTTGTAATGAATTACATTTCCCTCTGCGTCCAGTTTTTGCTTGAACACCCACTTGCAACCTATGGCATTTTACTGTTAGGTAACTCAGAATGCATAATAAAAGGGAGTAACACCTCGAATTGGTGTGATATATCCAGGAGCCGTTTCACCCACAAATGGCTATTTGATAAAAATATATATAATGGTGCCAGATGAGGTACAAACAAAAGGTTCAGATGCTGTAGAAAAGAGATGCAGCGATATGTGTGGTGTATACGTCTTCAAATCTGCTAAAGACAGAATAAATGTGGTATACACCAAATATTCTACTTAATAAAAGAAACCATGTATCATAGAACAACAGTATAAGAGACTGTTTTCTATACTATACTTGAGTCATCCCTGTGTGTTGCACTAGGCATACCTGAATCTACGTAACTCAGAATGCATGTTTTGTTTTTTGTTTAAAGTGAACCTTTTAATGAAAAAATTCACTTACCTGAAATTGCTCTTCGTGTTACACCCACCTGCGGGACGTCACATCACTCTGTTCCTATAGAAATGTTATGGATTTTTAACCTTGAAACCCTAACACGCAAAGGTCTACATTTAAACTTTGATTTACATCATTTTTTATAATTCTGTTTTTTTTCCCCCTCCATTAGGGTTATACACTACATTTTCCATACTCTTATGTATCCTACAGGTATATCCTATATATGTACTGTGTATTTTTTAATGATCTTTTTTTATGAAATATTTCCTATCTAAGCTACTGTTAAACATCTTTTGTTTTTGTATTTTCTTTTTTGTTGTTTATTCATTTCCTTATATGACACTACTACTACAACTATTACTCTAAATAACTACATTTCCCATTATACATGGTTTCTTACATGACCCTTAGTGATTTTTTTCTTAATTTTCATGCACAAGTTCCTTCAGATTTTACTATGTATAATTCCTTCCTCCCCTATTTGGCTGCCCAATTATATGATCAGGTTCATGTACTGCAATCCCCATACTGCTGTGCACTGGTCCAATCATGTGACTGGGCTGACCACATACTACCATCCACAGGATACTAGGCACCGGGCATAATAAGTAGCTTAGCATGACCTAGAAGCTATTCTGTACTACATTACCTTTATTGCTATGCGCTGGCCTGATCACATGATTGGGTCGATCACATACTACAATCGCCATACTTCTAGGCCACCGGATACAACAAACTTCAGCCTTACATAGAGAACAATAAAGGTCTCTCTTTATTTATTATATTTGGCAAACTCCCCTCTGTCTTGTAGTCGACACAACACATCTGACAGTTCCACTTTAAGCAATATGAAAGGAAAACCAAAAATATTTTTAAATGGCTGGTCTTCATCTGCATATTAAACCCAGAGATAAAAAAGGTGATAGTGCAAACTTAGATTGTATTTATATTGTGTGATCAACTTTTTTATCTCTGGGTTTAATATGCAGATGAAGACCAGCCATTTTAAAATGTTTTTGGTTTTCCTTTTATATTGTTTAAAGTGGAACTGTCACATGTGTTATTGTTTTTTTTTGTTTTTGGTCATACAGTGAGGGAAACAAGTATTTGATCCCCTGTTGATTTTGAACGTTTGCTCACTGACACAGAAATGATCAGTCTATAATTTTAATGGTAGATATATTTTAACAGTGAGAGACAGAATAACAAAAAAAATTCCAGAAAAACGCATGTCAAAAAAGTTATAAATTGGTTTGCATGTCAATGAGCGAAATAAGTATTTGACCCCTTCAACTTAGTACTTGGTGGCAAAACCCTTGTTGGCAATCAAAGAGGTCAGACGTTTCTTGTAGTTGGCCACCAGGTTTGCACACATCTCAGGAGGGATTTTGTCCCACTCCTCTTTGCAGATCCTCTCCAAGTCATTAAGGTTTCGAGGCTGATGTTTGGCAACTCGAACCTTCAGTTTCTTCTACAGATTTTCTATGGGATTATGGTGTGGAGAATGGGTAGTCCACTCCAGGACCTTAACGTGCTTCTTCTTGAGTTATTTCTTTGTCAGTGGACAAACATTCAAAATCAGCAGGGAATCAAATACTTTTTCCCCTCACTGTATGTGATTTTCTTCCCCCCTCATAATAGGCACATTTAAGAAACAAAACATAAACAAAACCCATAAGGGTGTGCATTATTTATCTAAATTAGCTAAACTTTACTTTAAAAACTAATTTAAAGGACAACTGTTACCTCAAACAATTTGTATTATATTATAATTTTCAAAAGGAAATAGATTTTTGTTTTTTAAAATTATTATATATATTTTCTTTTAATGAAAAATTATATTCGGGATTTCTGTGCTGGGAGTGAAGCTGGGAAGACCATAAAGACTGCCGGTTTTCAAACACTGTCTGACCTAAGGTGCATGTATATGGCTGAAGGATCCTTTCATATACTGAAGGAAGGGATGTATTTTTCTTATGTTTTACACATATGCTGAAATTTGTAAACGAAAATATATTTCCTTTGGAAGGATTATTATATTATAAAAAAATGTTGTGAGGTGACATTGGTCCTTTAACAAAAGAAAATTAAAAAACTCACACCGTCCCACCTTAGTTCTCTGGTGTCCTGCTTTTAGGGACACCAACAAATCTGGCACAATCAAGCATAGCTTGAGCACATAATAAAATGTGCCTGTGCTTTGTTCTGGGCACTAGAATCCTGAAGGGGACCCTGACACAGTGCTCCCTGCATGACCAGCCCTCAGTGGGCCAGCTAAAGTTATTGGCAGGCAGCCTGGCATGTATTCAAAAACATAATAAGCTAATCCAGACTCACACCAAAGTGTCTATAGACACCTAAACAGGGCATTTGATTGAACTGTATAAAATAAAAACACTTGTATCTCTTAACAAAACCACATGTTAAAAGGTCTACAAATGTACTTTAAGAACATTATAAGTGGGGGGGTGGAGCCTAGCCGCACACCAGAGCAGTCGCATTCACCAAGGCTCTGACAGCCTAGAGCTGAAAATGGCTGAAATCAGCCGACCCACGCCTGTGGAAATAAGGTGCAGACCTTACCTCCGGGCATTCTGCCGAACCCACAGATGCCTTTCTTCCACACATCGGGCATGAAATGCCACAAGAGAAGCACCGCGGCCTACCATACGGGCGCTCGCATGAGACATCGCAGGAGAGCTGGCCACGTGGCTGGAGACCGGCATATAGCTTGATACCTCAGACTTCTACACTCCCAAGGAGATGGGACGGAGGTTTCAAAAACTGTTCCCACACACACCCCAGCCACAGCATGACATAGGCCTCATGCTCCAAAGTCCACCACCAGCACTGGCCCAGACCACCCAAGAGGCCTCACCCACAAAGTTAATGGAAGACGACTCCCTACACAGCTCGGCTACAGCCAGAATAGAAATGGAGGCCCCAGCGTCCAAACAGGATATTCAAG